TAATATTTTTTTCGTATTACATTCAGAGTTTAATGTCTTCCATTTCATGCCAGTCTTAGTACTTGGAAGGCATCTAGTGGCTAAATATTATGCTTGGAAGATGCCCGGTTATATGACTGTGTTACATATGCATAGTGACATCAGTTATAGCACAGAACCTCAGAAAGACTGTCACAGCTTCTTTACTGAAATATTTGGAAGACAACACATATATAGTCACTGCAGTTTTAAAATGAATTCCAACAAAGATCACTCAATTTGTTCGTACTTAGTCAATCCACTCTGTCTGGAATATAAAAATGAAGTGCATGGGTCAGGAAATTTGTCAGCTCTGTAAGTTGGACAACATTTGAATAATAAATATTGTTTTCTTAAATCTCCATTGTTCACACTCTGAAAATTTACGATTGCTGCAGTAGTTTAGATAGATGATTTCTTACTTTGTCTGTAAGATGGAATAAAGGTCTTTCTGAAATTGGACGCTGAAACCATTTAGTTGTTGGCATAGCCTGCAGCAGAGAATGGCACCAAATTGCCAATCATTTTAAGAAGACTTATGGCTGCTGGAGAAAATGTAAAAACTTCACACTGCTGTAATAAAGCCGAGCTGATGCCAAAGTTATTATTAAGACATTTTCAGGTGCTTTACTCAGCATCCAACCCATGATGAACTTGCCCAGAACATATGTGATACTGAATATCTCAGGACGACACGTCAAGTTCCTAAGGAGTTATATTCCTTCAGATAAAGATAGGGGCAAATGAAATTTTTCTGACGAGCCGCTCATACATTGCCTCTGAACTGTGGTACTGACAGATTTCTGTGAAAATCAATTGTTTTCCTTGCAATAATATTTTAAAGCATAAAAGTAATTTGAGACAACATGGGAAATATAGCATGATTTGAAGGAACACATAGCTTGGAATCTATGGCTTCCAAAGCTCAATGCCACCGGAATTTGCTTCACATTATACTGGTTCTGTTGTAGGTGAAGTGACAGAGATGCAATGATTTATGACAACTCCAATATTGTTACACCTGCTTGGTTAAAGTTAAAATGAGTGGATTTTTTTTTCGTCTAAGAATTCACTTGTTTGTGTACTTTTTCAGCTAGGAAATAGAATAATAACACTGAAAATTTTGGGACCACAAAGAAGGTTGCAGACTATTTAAAGACAAAAGGTTCAGTCCCTCTAGTTTGCACAAAGAATGCTTCAAACAATATCCTTTAATGAATTCTCCTGAAACATTGAAAAGAACAAAGCAATAAGGTAGCACAGAAAGAATTAAGATGGGCAGAGCATTCTACTTGAAATCTTTACATAATAGATTATTTGTTAACTTTCCAAACTTGCGCACCCAGTAAAGAACCTTGGCTACCGGTTACATATATGTCAGAAATACATCGCTGACTATTTTATGAAAGGTGTGAATAGGCTGATGAGGCATTTCAGTAAATTAAGTTAATACAGTAAACCACGGACTAAGTAGGCTACTATTTTCAAAGTTTAGGAGCTGTGCAGTCTATCTTATTTCATCCTTTTCTATTTTGGCAGAAATATTTCTAAATTTAAACAATCAATTGCATTCCTCTAACTTGCTGAAATCAAAAGAAAATCTAAAATGCCCGTAAAGAATTCATTTTTTGTTTCGGTCAACTCAACTTAATAGACATTGAGTGAGGGTCGCTGCAGCAATTAATTATTGCGGGAAATTTTCAACTTTGCTGTTCATATATAAAACTAGCATTGTTAATCAGCAAAGTAATTATTGTGCCCAGGAGGGAAACTGAAAATCTATCTGATGGTTGGAATAAAAAAAAGTATTATAATAAGCAGGCGACAGGACACATAAACTGGTTCTGAATTAAGCTATCAAATGTAATGGGCTACTGCCAGTGCTATTAGAATTAGCTTAAATTAACTTTCTTTTCAATGAAGACGTTCCTATAAATCTACTATGTGCATAATTCAAAAATCGAATGTGAAGCTGAATTTCTCTGTGGCAGTGAAAATATGGCAACAAAGGACCTCTGCCCACTGTATCTGCCCCTTGTTAAATGTATACTAATTGTATTTAATCATATACAGTTGATGGGCATTAACTTGTACCTCTGTAAGTAAGCACCTAATGAAACTATGATTGCTGGAACAGGAATGTGTAGGCTTCTAATGTGTAACTCAGTAAATAGATATTTACAAAAGTGTAAAAATTAGCTTCTATTTTATCCTTTACAAACTGGCTTTCTGGAATGCAATGTTCCTAAGACCAACCCCTCTTCCCCCATTCACCCACTTCCCAGGATCAAAAGGCATTTAAATATTTTGGGTAAGAAACAGATCCTTCGTGGCGCCAATGGCATTCCTAGCTCGGAAGAAACAAAGACAATTGGTGCAATGCAGGTGGGCTTTCAATGTAACAGGAACAAAAGTAAAAAAAAAATCAAGATGTTCATTTCCCTGTTGCTGCCAGTTTCAGTGACATAATTGATTGCTATGTGATTGATAGTATTGCTGAAACTGGCCTTTTAAAATAATGCAATATTTATGAGTCATTCTGAAGCCCTTAGCAATGCTAGTTGTTGGAGACAAATTGATGTTCTGTAGGTTGAGCTGAGGCAGGACGGAAGGTATACTGTATAATGTACTTATTTACTTTTCTTGTGGTGGAAGGTAGAAGGTAAAAAAAAAGCTTCGCCATTCTGCCTCCCCCACCCCCAGCTCACACTCTCCAGAGCAGTACTTTTGACAGGAGGACAAAACAATGAAAGCTCAGTGTGTCCAGGTCTCAAATTATACTCCCACTTCAGCGTTTCAGGCTTCTCGCTATAAGGAGATGATTTCAAAATCCCTTTTTGTATAGATTGTGATAGGCCGAGTTAACCTTGCAGCAAATTGGAGATATCATTCATGCGAAAACATTGATGTTTGAATAATTTTGGTGTTAGGTTTCCTACCATCAAATTTTAATAGTCAACTATATTGTATATTTAGACTGTCTGGGAACATTCCTCTCAAGTTTCACTCCTGTTCTGCTGAAGACCTTGGCTTTTGCTGCAGCTATGCTTCCACAGCTGCCAGGAACCTTATACTACTGCACCCAAGCAACCTCATGCCAATGCCCAAGTAGAAAATGTAGCACACTATCTGATGGTGTGGTACGTCAGGGCTGAACACAGTCAAGGTCCATAATGAACACTTCAGAGTGGTGGCCACTGAATAGAGATTGAGGCTGGAGTCCAGTCAACTATTGGGATCCCAGCAAATCTTTCTTCTTCCTATCTACGGCCAATTGTAACTTGGCTGCAATCAGCTGACTCAACATAGATTGAATATTGGACTTGCATCTGTGTAGAAAAAAAGTTTTCCTCAATCTAACAAAATCATGAATATTTCTCATGGGCTACACATAAAACTGAAAAGGAAACTATATGCCCTAATGCAGCAGGTAAATAGAAATATAGAAGACCAGGAATGATCTTCGTGGCCTATTGATCAGGTCCCTAGGGTGTGTTTACCTAAGAATCTCTCAGGGGCCTGAGTATCATCTTACACTTAAAAATTAATAATTAATAGTAAAAAAGAACTTAACTTGGATTTATACACCCAGCAGGTGAAGCTCTTTGCTTGTACTCAAACACACATTCACACAAGAGCTCTAACCTTGACCAAATAGTGATGGAATTGGCAGTTTAATTCAGTAGAACTGGCTGTCCACAATTTTAGATATCAAACTGTCGTCTGAAGTGAAAAAGTGCATCAGGAATTAGGGGCAGATAATGGACTAGTGGTATTATTGCTAGACTATTCATTCAGAGACCCAAGTACTAGTCTGGGGACCTGGGTTTGAATCCCACCATGGTTGCTGATGAAATTTTAATTCAATCAAAATCTGGAATTAAGAGTCTAATGATGACCATGAGACCATTGCCAATTGTCAGGTAAAATGCATCTAGATCACTACTGTCCTTTAAGGAAGGAAACTGCCATCATTACCTGGTCTGGCCTAAATGTAGCTCCAGACCCACAGCTATGTGGTTGACTCTTAACTCTCCTCTGGGCAACAAATGCTGGCCTAACCAGCGAGGCCCTCAACCCTTGAATGTATTTTTTAAAAAGTATTGTATCATATGAGGTCATCAATAAAATGCACTTTGCACCTTGTCAGAATGAGCATAACAAGCCATTGTGCAGTTACTGAAATACACAGCTCAATTAAACATAACAATGAATCTTATAAAAAGCCATCCAGTGTTTTTATATTGACAATGGGGTAAATACTGGTCTCCATGTGGATATGGGTACTCTGTTGATGAGGATTACCCACTCAATTTAAAACTAAATCAATTTCCATTCCCTTCAAATAAATGGAATGGAAATCCAATAGATTTTACAATAGATGAATAATCCATTTAGTCAAGGTGAAAACTTAACCAATGTATTCTGAATACCAATCCAATTCACAATATCTGATGAAGTTGAATTGAGATATCAGTCTTTTCAGTTACTGTCACAACCTGAAGTCCACTAATCTCTCAATATCGTTGTTCTGTACTCTTCCCAACTATCTGCAATATATCTTATTTGGATTGTTCTGTTCACTCACTTTGTTCCCTGAAGTAGTCTGAATATTAAACACAAGTGAGTTTCAATCAAGGGACATTGAGAAAGTGCAATATTATGGGTAACCTGCAGGAATAAATACACTGTACCTAGAAAGTGCAAAACAGATGAGTAAACTAGTTTATCAATTGATCAGTGATTTCAGGATAGTACAGCAGACAGACTGGAGCAGCCTCTAAAGCACGTGTTCTATGGTTTTAATTTGATAGAAATGAACACAATCAAAAAGCTTATTCACTGTTTTCATGAAGATATGACAGCTGAATTGGTTAATTCTTAAACAGATGAATGGCCTCAGCCCATTGTCTTGGGGAGATCAGAATGGCTAATGTTAAGGTAAATCAGAAAGTCCTCTGGCAGAAGCTGAGATTTAGTTCGAGCGCTCCTATGCGGGGCTGTGGACTGTCTCGTGATTGTACATTAGTTGCTCTTTTAACTGACATCCAGTAACCTCATTGCACAATGCAGTGGATACATGTTCTATAGACAAAGAGAAAGGTTAAATATAGTTAGAGAGTAATACTGAATGGCACATATCAACATAGTCCTTTATGTAAATTATTATCGTAAATTAAAGTTGTCATGAAGTACAATCTTCAAATATAACTAACTATCCACAGTGTTGTGATGTATCACCTGGATTATAAACTGAAGACAAACACATACTTAGTATTCAGAAATAGGAACTCTCAACCTAATCTTAATATTGGGTTGAGGAGCTAGAATAGGTCTTTTGGGCCTTTGTACTTACTTCACCATTCAGAAAGATCATGCCCAATCCGGTTATGGTCTCACCTCCATTTTCATGTCTGCTCCCCGTAACTTTTGGTTCCCTTGCCTATCAAAAATCTCTCAAACTCAGCTTTGAATAAATTCAATTATCTAGCCTCTACTGCTTCCTCGGTAAGACAATCCTACAGCTTAACAACACTCTGAAAGAAAATAATTCTCCTCATCTCCATTTGGAAAGGAGATCCCTTATTCTTAAGCTGTGTGTCCTCAATGTAGTCTCCCCCACAAGAGGAAACATCTGCCTATCACCTACCCTTTCACATCCCCTCAGGATCAAACAAGTTTCAATAAGATCACCTCTCATTCTTCTAATCTGCAAAAGATACACGCCCAACCTGTTCAACTTTTCTTCATAAAATAACCCCTTCATCCCAGGAATAAATCTAGTGAACCTTCCCTGAACTGTTTCAAATAAAAAAGCCAAAAATGTACAAAGAATTCCAGATGTGCACTCATCAAGATCCTGTACAGTTTCGTGAAAACATCCTTAATGTATTTTCCATTCCCTTTCTAATAAATACCAATATTCCATTTATCTTCCTGATACTTGCTGTACCTATATATTAATTTTAAGTGATTCCTGTACCAGGTCACCCAGATTACACAATACTTAAGAATTCTGCAATCTCTATGGTATACTGCTTTTTTACTATTTCTACCAAATTGGACAATCCAGATTTCACCACATTATGCCCCTCTGCAAAATTTTTACCTGCTCATGAAAAGTATCTAAGTCAATGATATCAATTCAGTGAGAATGTACTGAGGTCAGAAGCTGATCTATCCTGGCAGAACACAAGCTTGGTGTCAGCAAGTAGATGCTGCTTGATAGTGCTGTTGATGATACCTTCTATCACTTTACTGATGATTGAGCGTAAATGGATGGTGTGGTAATTGGTGGGGTCAAATTTTTCTGGCTTTTTGTGCACGTGACATATGGGTAATTTTCCACATAAGAAGAAAGAACAAAGAAAATTACAGCACAGGAACAGGCCCTTCAGTCCTCCCAAGCCTGCCCCGATCAAAATCTTCGATCTAAACCTGTCACCTATTTTCCAAGGATCTGTATCCCTCTGCTCCCTGCCCATTCATGTATCTGTCTAGATACATCTTAAATGACGCTATCGTGCCCGCCTCTACCACCTCCGCTGGCAACACGTTCCAGGCACCCACCACCCTCTGCGTAAAGAACTTTCCACACATATCTCCCTTAAACTTTCCCCCTCTCACCTTGAAATCATGACCCCTAGTAACTGAGTCCCCCACTCTGGGAAAAAGCTTCTTGCTATCCACCCTGTCTATACCTCTCATGATTTTGTAGACCTCAATAAGGTCCCCCCTCAACCTCCGTCTTTCTAATGTAAATAATCCTAATCTACTCAACCTCTCTTCATAGCTAGCACCCTCCACACCAGGCAACATCCTGGTGAACTTCCTCTGCACCCTCTCCAAAGCATCCACATCCTTTTGGTAATGTGGTGACCAGAACTGTGTGCAGTATTCCAAATGTGGTCGAACCAAAGTCCTATACAACTGTAACATGACCTGCCAACTCTTGTATTCAATATCCCGTCCGATGAATGAAAGCATGCTGTATCTTTCTTGACCACTCTATCGACCTGCGTTGCCACCTTCAGTATACAATGGACCTGAACACACAGCTCTCTCTGTGCATCAATTTTTCCCAGGGCTATTCCTTTTACCGTATAGTTCACTCTTGAATTGGATCTTCCAAAATGCATCACCTCGCATTTGCCTGGATTGAACTCCAACTGCCATTTCTCTGCCCAATCTATCTATATTTTGCTGTATTTTCCGAAAGTCCCCTTCACTATCTGCTACTCCACCAATCTTAGTGTCATCTGCAAACTTGCTAATCAGACCATCTATACCTTCCTCCAGATCATTTATATATATCACAAACAACAGCGGTCCCAACACAGATCCCTGTGGAACACCACTGGTCACAGTTCTCCATTTTGAGAAACTCCTTTCCAGTACAACTCTCTGTCTCCTGTTGCCCAGCCAGTTCTCTATACATCTAGCTAGTACACCCTGGACCCATTGCGACTTCACTTTCTCCATCAGCCTGCCGTGGGGCACCTTATCAAATGCCTTACTGAAGTTCATGTATATGACATCTACAGCCCTTCCCTCATCTATCAACTTTGTCACTTCCTCAAAGAATTCTATCAAGTTGGTAAGACATGACCTTCCCTGCACAAAACCATGCTGCCTATCACTAATAAGCCCATTTTCTTCCAAATGTAAATAGATCCTATCCTTCAGTATCTTCTCCAGCAGCTTCCCCATCACTGATATCAGGCTCACCGGTCTATAATTACCTCGATTATCCTTGCTACCCTTCTTAAACAAGGGGACAACATTAGCAATTCTCCAGTCCTCCAGGACCTCACCCGTGCTCAAGGATGCTGCAAAGATATCAGTTAAGGCCCCAGCTATTTCCATAGTTATTTCCCAGCTATTTACATAGTTGGGTAGATGCCAGTGTTGTCACTGTACCTGAATAACTTGGTTAGGAGTGCAGCAAATTATGGAGCACAAGTCTTGATACTACATCCAGAATGTTGTCAGGGCCCACAACCTTTGCAGTATACAGCATCTTCAGCCATTTCTCACATGGAGTACATCCAACTGGCTGAAGACTGAACTGTGATGTTGGGGACTACTGGAGGAGGTTAATATAGAACATCCACTTCAGCACTCTGGCTGAAGACTGTTGCAATTTCTTCAGTCTTATCTTTTGCACTGATGTCCTGGGCTCCCTCATCACTAGGGATGGAGCTATTTGTGGAGCCTCCTCCTTCAGTGAGTTGTTCAATTGTCTACCACCATTCACGACTGGATGTTGCAGGACTGCAGAGCTTAGATCTGATCCACTGGTTGTGGGATCACTTAGCTCTGTCTATCTTTGGTGCTTATGTTGTTTGATGAGCAAGTAGTCCTGCCTTGTAGCTTCACTAGGTTGAAACCTCATTTTTAGGTACTTGTGCTGCTCCTGCCTTGCCCTCCTGCATTCTTCATTGAACCGGGCATGCCCCCTAGGTTAATGATATTCCGGGCCATGAGGGTGCAGATTGTTTTTGAGTATCATTCTGCTGCAGATGGTCCACAGCACTTCTCAGATGCTGATTCTTGTGTGGCTAGATCTGTTCAAAATCTATCCTACTTAGCAGTCAAACACAACATGATGGAAGGTATTCTTAATGAGAAGAAGAGACTTAGTGTCCACAAGAACTATGTGGTGGTCATTCTTTTTGATACTGTCATGGACAGATGCATCTGCAACAGGCAGATTGGTCAGAATGAGGTCAAGTATGTTTTTAACTTTTTGTTGGTTCCCTCATGCACTGCCACAGACCCAGTCTCATAGCTACATCCTTTAGGACACAGACAGCTCAGTCAACTGATGAGCTGCTAAGCCACTCTTGGTGGTAGAAATTGTAATTCTCCACTCTGAGTACATTCTGAGTCCTTGACACTCTCGGTGCTTTCTTCAAGTGGTACTTAGTGTGGAGGAATACTGATTTATCGGCCAATGTGGGTGGGTATCTGGTAATCAGCAGTTGAACCATGTTTGACCTAATGCCATGCGATTTCATGGGGTCCAGGATCAATGTTGAGGACTCCCAGGGCAACTCCCTCCCAACTGCATACCACTGTGCTGCCACCTCTGCTGGGTCTGCCCTGTCCGTGAGAGAGGATATCAGGCGATGGTGGTATTGGAGGCATTGTCTGTTAGTTATAATTCCGATAGTATAACTCTGTCAGGCTGTTGCTTGACGATTCTGTGAGACAGCTCTCCCAGTTTTGTCACTAGCTCCCAGATATTAGTAAGGAGGACTTTGCAGAGTCGACAGATCAGAATTTCCTGTTTGCTGTTTCCAGTACGAGGTTCTCTGTCCAGTTCTATTTCCTTTTTGAGACTGTTTTTCAGTTGGTGGCCTGTTTACAATATGCATTAATGACCTGGGTGAGGGGAGTGAGTGTGAAAGCAACAGGTGAGAATTATACCAAGAGGAGACAGAGTGATATAGACAGATTAAATGTGTGGACAAAAACTTGGCACGTGGCACAGAATGGGGGAAAATGTCAGGTTATACACTTTGGCAGGAAGAATAGAGAAGTTGAATGTTATTTAAATGGAGACAGACTACTGAAAGCTGCAGCACAGGGGGATCTGTGTACCATTCACAAAGAGCCAGCATCCAAAATTAGCAGGTAATTGTGAAAGTCATAGAATGTTAGCTTTTATTTTGAAGGAAATGGAGTGTAAAAGTATGGAATCCATGCTAAACCTGTAAAAGGCACTAGTCAGACCACACCAAAAAGATTACTGTGAACAGTTTTGGTCCTATTGGAGGCAGTCCAGAGAAGGTTCAAGAGGTTGATGCTGGGTATGGAAGGTCCCACATAAAGCTTTATTGGACACAATTAAAGAGCATATATTGGTAGGAATTGAAAATTGTTTAACAGATAGGAAACAGAGTGGGAGTAAATGGGTCTTTTTCCAATGGTAGGCAGATGCTGTAAGGATCAGTGCTTGGGCCCCAGCCACTCCCATTATATATACATGACTTTGATCAGGGAACAAAATGCAACATTTCCATGTTAGCACAAAACCAAGCAGGATTGTGAATTGTAAGGAGGATATAGTGAAACTTCAAGTCAAGATCGGAGAGTAGGCAACCACTTTGAAGATGCAGTATAATGTAGCTAAATATGAAAATATAAACTTTGATGTGAAAAACAAAGAGGTAGAGTATTATTGAAATAGTGATGTATTGGGAAGTGTGGACATACAAAAGGATCTGGGTCTTCTTGTACACTGGTCAATGCAATTAGATGGCAGCTGCTGCAAGTAATTAGGTTTGCAAATGGTATATTGGTCTTAATTGCAATAAGTTTTGTGTTCTGAAGTAGGGATGTCTTACTGCAGTTATATATGGCCTTGGTGAGACTGCATCTGGAGTCTTGCGTATAATTCTGGTCTCCCTATCCAAGAAATTATTTTCTTGCCATAAAGAAAGTGTAGCAGAAGTTCATTAGGCTGACTCTGGGGATGGCAGGACTGTCCCATGAAGAGGGATTAGTTTAACTGGACTTTTATTCACTAGAGTTTAGAGAAGTGAGAGGGAATCTGATTGAAACATGTGAAATTCTGATTGACTAAATGCAAGGAGGATGTTTTGCCTGGCTTTGGACTGGAGACATAGTCTCAGGATATGGGGAGGGCAATTTATGACTGGGAAGAGAAAAAGTTTCTACTCTTGGATGGTAGAGAACCTATGGAATTCTCTACCACTGAAGGCTGTGGGGGCTAAGTCACTGAATATATTCGAGAAAGATAGTTGTTTTAGATTTTAAAGGCATCAACTGGTATGGGGAGATATGAGGCATATGGCAATTAGATAAACGATCAGCCATGATCATATTGAATGGTGAAGCAAGCTTGAAGAACCAAATAGCCTACTCCTGCTCTTGCATTGTATGTTACTTATTGAGGACAGGTTGAGGGGGTTGGATCTGTTCTCATAGGAATTTAGAAAAATGAGATGAAACATATATAATTCTTGACACAGTGAATGCAAAGAGGTGTTTCACCTTGTGGGAGAGTCTAGGTCCAGAGGGCATAATCTCAGAGTAAGGGGCCACCCAGTTAAGAAAGAAATGAGAAAGAATTTCTTCTTTCAGAGGGTAGAAATCTGTGGAAATCTTTAGAACAGAGGGCTGTGGAGGTTGGGTCATTAAATATATGCAAGGCTGAGAGGGACACATTTTTAATCAGCAAGGCAATCAAGGGCTATGGAAAAAGGCAGGAAAGTGGAGTTGAGGATTATCAGATCAGCTCAATAGGGTGTTTCCCAGGGCAGTTCAGAATCACCCCAGTGCTGTTTGTCTGAAATCAGACCAGGAAATTACAGCAAAATTCCTTCTCCAAAAGACATTGGTGAACCATATGGGCTTTACAGCAATGGTTTTATTCATTAGACTTTTGAATCTAGGTCCTAAGAGCATTTCCTGGGTCTCCGAATTACTAGGCCAATGTCAAATCCATTGCATCATCTCCTCTGCGGTCAAGAGTTTTTGTGGGCTGACATCAGCACCCAGACCACACTCATGTTGGCAGTGTTTATACAATGAGAGCCACTCAAAATGTGATAGGTAAGACCACTGGAATGTTTTAAACACTACTTCTGCTGCCTCTTTTTAGCATACATGGCACAGCATGTATCAAGGTTCAATATGGTTTGTTGTAAGCTGGGGAGGTGATTGCCTAGTGGTATTAGACTGTCATTGGACTGGTATTTGGGCTGCTAATCGAGAGACCCAGGTAATATTCTGGGGACCTGGGTTCAAATCCCACCTTGGCAGACAGTGGAATTTGAATTCAATTAAAAATCTGGAATTAAGAATCTAATGATAGCCATGAATCTATTGTTGATTGTTGGAAAAATTCATCTGGCTCATTAATGTCCTTTAGGGAAGGAAACAGCCATCCTTACCTGGTCTGGCCTACAAGTGACTCCAGACCCACAACAATGTGTTTGACTCTTAACTGCCCTCTGGTCAATTAGGGATGGACAATAAATCCTGGCCGAGCCAGTGACACCCCTCATCCTATGAATGAATCAAAAAAAAGAAGCTGAACAATCTTTTAATTGTGGGAACACAACCTTTGCCACCAGTGAAACAATGACAAGATAAAGATGAGGAGGAGGAAGAAAAGGTGTCATAGGAGGAGGATCTGGCTGGACTTAGAAGATCTGGCTTATAGGTCCACTATCTAAGCATAGGGGACAGCAGTCTGAGCTAGCTGGTTGATAGTTAAGAGCAAGGGCACTGGCAGAATGGCAGTGATGGGACAATGGAGGCTCCTGAGATGGAGGGCAGATTGCTAATCTGTCATGACACCCTGAAAGGCCCTTTGAACATTATCTATAGCTATGATAGCAGCAATCATGACTGCAGTCAGAGCTTCCAATACAACACGAAGCTAAGCCATTAGTTATCAAATGCTAGATTATGGTTGGATCAGCAAGTGTGCTAATAGTTTATGACCACCACTTCCACAATGAGCTTTCAGTTTTGCATAAAGGAATTTCTGAGAAGGAATTTCTTCACCCAGAGGGTTGTTAATCTGTGGAATTCCTTGCCCAGTGAAGTAGTTGACGCTACTTCAGTAAATGTTTTTAAAAAGAAGGTAGATTTTTTTTGAACAATAAAGGAATTAAGGGATACGGTGAGAACGCGAGTAAGTGGATCTGAGTCCACGAAAGGATCAGCCATGACCTTATTGAATGGCGGAGCAGGCTCGAAGGGCCAGATGGCCTACTGCTGCTCCTAGTTCTTATGTTCTTATGTTCTTATAAAGCTGTCTGCAACATTGGGGTGTATCTCCTTTACCCTCTTTAGAGGTTGACCGCAGGTATTCTGGCAGCATGCCAAAGCACTGGCATTTCCTTACACATATCCATCAGTCTTCTAACGTAGCCCACTCATTAAACTGTCCATCTAAGACTTTTGCAATAGACTAGGGTGCAACCTCCTGAGAGCTGACATCTGCCCTGTCCTTGTTCCTTGACCTAACTGCAGGCCACTCATGCCCAGTGTCTCACTACATGCTAGATCCTACTTTTCGGCTATTCTTTTTACTACAGTTGATGTTGGCATAGCTGCAGGTATAAGGAGGGTATATCTTCTTCATTACTGTCTTCCTACTTTTCCATCACGGCCTGGCTAATTGGCAGCTTTTGTGTGTCTGAAAAGGAAAAAGGCATTATCATAACTTTATGATGAGCATAAGAGGAAAGTAAGATATGCAGGCTTACAATGTAGCTTATAAACCAGAAGAGAGTTTGAGATGAGGCGTAAGTGGGATGCGAGAAGAGGGATTCAGCCTGACAATACCATCATCTTCAATCATTTCTGTCCTGTTACTAGTTTCAGTCATGAGCACTTGGTGAGCTCTGTCTCCTCCATGAGGATAAGGGAACGCAAACATCTCCAATCCCTGTCTGTTGAGTGCTGCTATCTCTGGCTATGCACTCTCATCCTACCACAGAGGAGTATGTGAGTATGGACATTGTATTTGGTCGATATGTCTGCCATGACAGAATAGCTGGCAATGTGTGTGAGCTGGCAGATCGGAGTGTGAGGCTTGCAGCTGTGTGATGCTGAGGTGCAGTTATTAATGGAAAGTATGAGACCCGATAGCATTGTATCAGGTCCTTGGGACTTGACTGCTGGCATTGACCAGTACTGCTTTTCATTCATGTAGCCTTCAGAAATTTAGATCCTTGGATGCCATTTCCCATGCTCTTCACCACCCTGCCATGGCTTTGGTGCAGTCAGAAAATCTTAGGGTATTCCTTATTTGCATACTTTTTACATCTTTTTCAAGTCAGAATCAGTTGTGGGATGACTTCCAGTATCCACTTCAACCGCAATACACTTTTCCTTTAAGAAGTGCCTTTTTAAACTTGTTTTAACTTGTATTAGCCTCTCACTATTTTATGGTCTTTTTTTCAAGTATATACTCACTCAACTTTATGCCAGCTGCAAACTAAAAGCCTTTAAATATGCATAATACATTTGAATGCTGCCTTCACCAGAAACAATGGGAGGGAATTGATTGCTCAATGTCATTCTATGCCCATCTTCATGGGTGATCAAATCTCCAGTCTATAACTCTTCCAGTTTTTGTATTTGTCATGTACTTTAAAATTGCAAATAAATGATACTACAGAAAATGCTAACAGACTACGGACAGAAAATGGACATGAAAGTGGCAATATAATTTACAAAGAGAAACAAATTGCTGATCATCATCATGATCTTGCAATTTAGCAGGAAGTTTGAGATTCTAGACCTATAATGATCTACACATTATTTGCACATCTACGTCAAAGGAAGTACACATACATTTATCAATTGGAAATTACTGTGAGAATATGACAGACTAGAAATTAAACAGAGAATCAGTGTTACTGTACAAAACTCACACAGAACTCCCAATTATTTTAAAACAGTGTCCAGGTAAACTGATGCTGTGGCCTGGGTATGGTTTTGTGTTCTGATAATACGGATTGTACGCGCTTCTCCAATCTTCCAATTAGTTTCCACCACAGTGTAAAACTGGAACAAGCAAGTAGCAGAACGCAAATAAACATTAGGTCAGGCAAGATACAACAGACAAACCTGCAAAATGAATGCAGAGAAGCTATTTCTGACTTCATGGAAAGCTACAGTTAAATTCTGAGGAATCTCTTCAGTGTTAGTAAACAAGAAACAAATTTGTCAGTCATCAGTAGTTTTTTTAAATACTGCATTTCAGTGATGCAACAATCTAATTCCCCAGCAGGGCCATGTGCATATTTAATGCAGATAAATCTGGTTATTCTTTGTCTCAGATATTTCTCTTCACATCGGTAACTTTACTCTGAATAGTTTTACTCTCAAAGAGTTGGTGCTTTACACATCCACTCGGGAATGAATTCTACGTCATGGTAATGTTCTAACCTCTGTTTTCTTATTCGCTCATCCGTTGTGAGAATTGCTGACAATGTTTATTGTCCATCTCTAATTCACCTGGAAAATGCTTTCGCGAGTCACCCTCCAGAACTGCTACAGTCCACACAAATATATATAAAACTATATCAGTTAGGAAGCCCTTGAGCCTGATCAACCATGTGCTAAGATCACGTTTGATCTGATTGGAACTGACTCCAACCAGTGGAGATTTCCCCCTGATTCCCTTTGACTCCAGTTTTGCTAGGGCACTTTGACACCATACTCAACATGTGCTCTTCTTCCCAAATTTAAATCACCTTCAATCTTTCCCCACATGACGAAAAATTGCAGCAGCTAAATAACTTGTACTTGAGAATCTGTACCGGAGGTACATTTGTACCTAAGATGGCGCCGTAAGTGGCAACTTGTAAACTTTTCACTGCACTCACGTGAGTAAATGACAATAAAACTAATTCTAATTCTATTGCTGCTAGTTACAGAGATGATTCTGTAAGTTTTTTTTGTTATGCCGAGAAAGCTTTCAAATATAATGGGGAAGGTTAGAATCTAAAGGGTTAAAAATAGTTTGATCAATAGAATTGAAGAATAATAAAGCCTTAAGACAGACGCGTTGACATATCAAGTCTTTAGTTGGGTTTCCACATGAGGCAGCTCAATGAATCACATTCTCCATGAGAATTGGAACATTGCATTCGAGTTTTATTGGACTGGAATTGGTTAATGTTGTTAATTCGGTGAAACTATGTAAGGTTTTAGATGGAGTAAAATCAATCAGTGAGTCTGGTAAAGACTTTAATTTGTGTTCAACTTTTCAGAATAAATGCTTATTAACCAGAGACGGCAGGGCAAGTAACTTGAGAGAAATTCAAAAAGGAACTGAGCATGATTGGCACAACCATGAGATACTACTCACTAACAATTCAGATAATTTACCAAAAAAAACTGTAGTTCATCAACTGCACACAGGCAATGTTACATGATAGAAATTCAGAATAAAATACTCTACAAAAAACTGTGCCTAATGGTTTTTCTCTTAGATGTGAATATTCGGTAATATATGTTGGCCAATGAACAAAGAATTCTCCGTCAAGCAAAAAATGATATCGAAAATAATGGGCACCTGTGTGTGATTAGTGAAGTAGCAATGTTTAGAAAGCTCAAAGATGAGAGTGAAACTCAAACAATTTAGAACTGTCCACAAAGTGAAATTACAGACTTGTAATAGATTCCACGTTTCTGTTTTAATTCCTTTTCTAACACACACTCTGGATTTGATTGGGAAGCCAAATGCTGCAAACACTGAAAACCCGAAATAAAAACAACAGAAAATGCTGGAAACATTCAGCAGGTCTGGCAACATCTGGCGGCACAGAAGCAGAATTAACATTTCACCTCAATGACTAATGAAAGGCAATCAACTTTAAAGAACCTTCTTTCTCCACAGATGCTATCCTAACTGCTGAGTAGAATAAAGAACAAAGACTGGTGCAGCACAGGAACAGGCCCCTTTGGCCCACCAAGACTGCACCGACACATAATATCTTTCTAAACTAAAATTCTTTTGCCTCTACGCTGTCCATATCCCTCTGTTTATTCATAAATCCTTCAAGATTCCTCCTCTGGCAGCGCATTCCATGCACTTACCACCCTCTGTATAAGAAACCTACCTCACATATCTTCTTTAAACTTACCCCCTTTTACCCTAAAGTTATGCCCCCTGCAATTGACAATTCTACCCTGGGAATTATCTGACTATCCATTCTATGCATGCCTTTCATAATTTTGTAGGCTTCTATCAGGTCACCCTCATTCTTCAATGTTCTTTTGTCCAATCTCTCCTATAGCTAATAACTCCAAACCAGGCAACAACATGGTAAATTCTTTCTATATCTTCTCCAAAGCCTCCACATCCTTCTGGTAGTGATCCAACCTGAACTATATACAATATTGTAAATGTGGTCTAACAAAAGCTGTATTTAACATGACTTGCCAATTTTTATACTCTATGGCCTCACCAGTGAAAACAAGCATGTTATATGTCTTCCTGACCACCCTAATCCATCTGTGTTGCCACTTTCAGAGAACTGTGGACCTGAACACCTAGATCCATCTGCATGTTAAATCTATTAAGGATTCTATCATCTACAATATACTTCCCTCCTGCATTAGATCTCCTAAAATGCATCACCTCGCATTTGTTCAGATTAAACTCCATCTGCCAATTCTCCACCCAAATCTCCGGCCTATCTATATCCTGCTGAATCCTTTGGCAATCCTCCTCACTATCTGCAGCTCCTCCAATCTTTGTGTCATCTGCAAACATACTAATCAGACTACCTATATTCTCCTCCAAATTGTTTTTATATATTACAAACAACAGGGGTGCCAACATTGATTCCCACGGAACACTATTAGGCACAGATTTCCAATCTGAAAAACACCCTACCATCTCTACTCTATGTCTTCTTTGACTAAACCAGTTCTGTATCTATTTCACCAGCTCACCACAGATTCCCTGTGACTTCATCTTTTATACCAGCCTGCCATAAGGGACCTTGTCAAAGACCATATAGCCAACATCTACCACCCTGACCTCATCAATAATCTTTATTACTTCCTCAAAAAACTCAAATTTGAGAGACACAACTTTCCCTGTACAAAGCCATGCTGCCTATCACTAATTAAGTATTTCCAGATTTTTCTGTTTATTTTGGACTTGATAGGATTGAAACCCCATGTCCTTACCCCCAACCCCATACACCAGGTCTTGCTATCACATAGTCTGCAATTACACACAATACATGGTTAGCCACTAACAGTCTCCATTAAAAACTATTCACCCTCCTAGCTGGATCGCCATTCACTCCTTTGTCTATCCAACTGTTTTTCTCTCTCTTTGGGCTCTATCACCCCCTATCGGTTTCTCCTTTCTACCTCCCCTCACCCTATCTTCTGCAAATAAGCCAATATTATCGTAACTACCACTAGTTCTAAGGAAGGGTCACTCGACCCGAAATGTTCACTCTGATTTTTCTTCACAGATGCTGCCAGACCTGCTGAGCTTTCGAAGCAATTTCTATTTTTGTGTTTTTTAAAAAGTAAGTTGGACTTCTTCAATTTACTTTCAATTGATTACATTGTCTGCTGCAGTGGTATTCCTCTTTGTGAGACAGGAAGATGTTTATGGAATCAGTAACAACCTGATAAGAAGCCGATGAAATGTACAGAAAGTATTTGCAGACTAATTGCAGGAAAAACTCTAGTCTTTGTCTGAGTTTAGCTCAAATAACCTTAACACTAAAAGGAAATGTGGATAATGTTAGGTCTAATGATAGTGATGGTGGGTTGATTTAGGTAGGTTTAATGCAAATAGAAGTTTAAGGAGGAAGTTAAGGAAATTATATAGTGTATATGCATTAGCTTGGCAGAAACAGCTGTAATATTTAAATAATAACCAACATAAAATTTCTGAATATGAGCTGAAAAACTTGTTTACAAGGTTACTATGCTAAGTTTTTTGTTTTCACTCAGAGGGTAAATTTATGAATGCAAACTGAAATAGGGCCAATTCTGACACTATGCAATGGTGTTAAAGGCTGATAGTGACTCATCTGCCCTCTTTCACATTTTTCTTGAGTTTTATTTTGACTGCAGTCAAAATTTTCTTGTATGTATTACAGACATTAAGTTTGTACAGACATTAACAAATCTGCATCATTCACTCAGGAGTGCATGGGGATAAAATTGAGTTCTTTTGACGTGATGCTTGATCTTAGAAAGAGACCTAAAATTTAATGAAATCCTATTCAGTCTCTCCAATCCATTTTGTTATGCAAAATGCAATCCATTTTTTTTTAACAAAGGCCAGATACTTAGTTAACTGAATGCAAATCTGCTAACCAAACAATGGATACATTGCAGCATATTGCAAAAATCAACCTCATATTGATTCCATAAACTAGCACTTAAAAGATACAGCAATTGTGGAATGAATTTGTGCTGCAGAATTCCTTTCACTTCCCACTGAAAGATGTGTCATGTCATACTGTTGACCACAGCACATTAATTCATGGTGTATGGGGGTGCCGCAAAAATGTTACTGCTTTTTGACTGGATTCCATGAAAAATCTGGTTGACATTATGAAACATTATGCTGGCAAATGAAAGAAAGCACAGAAGAAAGAGAAGTGATCATTCACATGATGTTGTAGGATGCATATTACTGTCATTCTTTTATAATTAAATATCTAATATTGGAATAAAAAATATTGTCAGACATAATTGTTACAAATTCATGGTATTTTTCAAATCAGTTCACTGATGGAAGTGGACATCATCTTATTGAGATTTGAGCTTTGTTGCTGAGGACAATGAAAGATGTTGGTTTTAGTCAATGCTTTAAAACAAGCTTTTTTCTCAGTGAGGGCTGATCACAGTGTATTTGGTTAATTACAGTACAAGAGAGAGAATGTGGCAAAAGTTCGATGGTTGGCCAAGCAACTACAACAAATGTTGCTATGTTCTGTGCTGGCTAATCTGGCAAAATTTCGTCTGTAACTACCAATGATCTCTGAAAGTGAGAAATCTCCTGATGACAGCATAATGATAAAATGGGACAGATTTTTGGAGGTGACATTAACAAGTGAAATTCGCAGAATGATAGTCTCCCTTCACTTATTTTATACTATAATTTATGTTGAATCTTCTAAGGGAGCTCATAGAATCTGAGGATCCCTACATTGTAGAAGCAGGCCATTCGGCCTATCAAGTCCACACCGAACAGCATCCCACCCAGACACACCCCAATACCCTATCTCTGTAACCTACGTTTCCCATGGCTAATCCACCTAACCTATGCATCTCCACACACTAGGGATAATTTAACATGGCCAATCCACCTAAATCAGTCAAGAATGTGTCAATTTATGGGTCTAGCCCCTGTTTTGACTGCTAGAGCACCTCTGAGAAATTTCCTAAGAGGCAGCCAGTAAAATGTCCACCTATGTAGCTACCGTTCAATGAAAGGAGAGGGTAGCTCCTTGAGGCTCCAGGCCCAATAAGAGACCTGCAGCTCTGATATGATGACAGCCCCACCACCAGAGATAACGTTGCCACTCTGAGAGGGAGAACACCAGGTTCCAGTCATCTGACCGCATGTGAAGGGATTAGACTTCAATTTAAAAAAGAACTTGGCCCCCAGCCTGTCAGGCCAAACACATGAAAGGGAAACCCTTTGACAGGATAGCTGGCAACAGTAGCTGTAACCTATTGATGTTTGTGGCTCTGATGAGTGACATTGGTAATAGGAGGCCTCACCAGTGTAACACTCCAGGCACCGGAGACCTGCCTCCAGGTGCCTGCTGGGCTTGACCATCAACTGGGGTCAGGTGTGGAGTGCCTGTCTGCCACTGGGAAGAAATTCAGGTGTTCATTCCAAGCTCACCCTGAAACTTTCCCCCTGCCCTGACCCACTGTGGGACTGGGGAAGTTCAGCCTATGAGCAGGAAACCCAGCCAGCATTATTATTAATTTCAGTCTCTACCAGATGTGAAATATAATCAAAGTAGATCCCATTTCTCTGAGGGGGAAGAAACGAGAGGATCTCTGGCTAATGTGCTATGACTTAAAATGCAATACACTAACATCTTTTAAATGAAAGTATGCAAAAATAAACCTGAAAAAACTCTGTTGGATCACAAAGGAGCTGGGTCACCATTTGCCAACTGTAGAACTCGCCCAGAGAGCTTCTTTCCTGTTTAAATAATTATTTGTGCATTCTAAGCAACAGAAAATTGTTGCTGCATCTGAGTTGAATGAGCTTTCAGAAGTTTGTATGGTGAAACATTGGCATCATTATGTACAAGTCTCATCTTGTTTGGATTATAAAAAAATCTAAGGTCAATTTTCCACTTAATAAAATGAAAGAGTAAGAGTATGCAACAGCATTTGTTTTGTTGCTAAAATATCAGTAGACCAGGATCCAAGCAACTGGATCAGATACTGGTGTAATCTGAACCACACCCATTACAATTGGCATCAGAACAAAACGTCTTGATTTTATTGCACAATGCCAATTAAGAAGACTGTCAATTATGCAGTTATTTTAGTCACCCAGCTTACAAATTGAATGCAGTCCAAGCTTTTAAAATAATGAAACAATTGATATAAAACATGCGGTGATTAATTCATTAAAGAACCAATAAAATGGACCACAAATATGATTTCAAGGCAGTTGAGGATTATCAGATCAGCCATGTTTTCGTTGAATGATGGAGCAGACTTGATGGGCTGAATGGCCTGCTTCTGCTTAGGGTCTTACAAGAGTACTCCAAGATAGTTTAAAAAATAACACATTAGCAAATGGTGTTGTTAAAGTAATGAGAAATTACCTAAACTTTGACTTGGCTGAAGCATTCAAATATCATTCTAATATATTCCTTGTTCACTGAGGAGTAGTGAAATGGCTTTTGATGTATCCTAAAAAGGGAATTTAAAGTGCTTCATGTTTTTCCTATCTAATACTGTTGCAAGATGAAACAAAGATAGGGGAAAGGACAGGTAGTGTTGAGGAAATGAGGAGGCTGCAGAAAGATTGGACAGCTAGGGGAGTGGGCAAAGCGTGTGAGGTTACACACTTTGATAGGAAGAATAGAGACATAGACTACTTTTTAAAAAGGTATCAGGCTTCAGAAATCTATAGCACAAAGACTTAGGAATCCAAGTTCAGGATTTCTTTAAGGTTAACATGGAAGTTCAGTTGGCAATTAGGAATACAAAAGCAATGTCGGCATTTATGTCAAGAGGACTAAAATACAAGAGCAAAGCTGTGCTTCTGAGGCTGTATAAGGCTCTGGCCAGTCTGCAGAGCTCTGATGAGGAGTCATCTAGACTCGAAGCATTAGCTTGTTCTCTCTCTCCATGGATGCTGCCCGACCCCCTGTGATCTCCAGCATTTTTTTGTTTTCAGTACAGATTCCAGCATCTGCAGGAATTTGCTCCTTAATTATTGTTCACATTTTTTGTAAAACTTTAATTTACTTCAGCTGTAGAAGATTCAAGAATACTAATTCTAAATGTTGATTCTTAAGTTTCAAAATCTTCATCCAATTGTATTACTTTCCCACACTATTTTAATGCAGAAGCTATTTCATTTATCTGAAATAGTTTACAATAAAATACTGCACAAAGGAATATGAGCATATCAGGCATTTGTATACAAAATTTGTTGATTGGACATTTTATATTTGTTAAATAATTTGAACATTTCTGAGAATCATCTTCTATTGGATTTGCTGCCTTTACTAGAAAAACAGAAACAGTATCAACATGGGTAAATTTCAACCTTCATTAAATTTAGCAAAATTGCTCGAAATATAGGCAAAAAATAACTCCAAAACAAATGCTCTGTAAAAGAAAATCTCATTGTTTTGGCCATTTGATCAGAGCTGAAAAGCTACAGAAGTCTCTTGTGGAGGGCAAAGTGCAGGACTGCAGGGGTCAATTGTCAGACTGGCCTAAGACACGAGTGTTGCATACCAGGACATCGACCCCTGCTGAAATATCAATATACACCCACTGTGAAGATCGTTGAATGCAAAAGGAGATGGACAGTTCCCCTTTTAATCACAGTAACTGCAATATTCAGACAACTTGTTAACAGGCCAGGTTTTTCAATCACTGACGAAGAGAATGGATGAGTGGAAGAAATCGATGAGTAGATGAATGATTGAATGGAAAATAATGTGATCCAAGGGGGAGGTCAGAGAAGATTGTTAGATGATGAGGAGGTGGTTGGGTGATTAGAGGAAGTAGGGTGAAGGGAGTTGGTTGTTGAATGGTTGGGTTCAGCTTATTGGGATTGAGGAGGCAATTGGTTGTGGTGCATAGTTCAGTTATGCTGTCTAATTAGTGAGTGCAATCAGCTATTCACCATAATAACATAGTTAGAAGTGTCCAGGTAAATCTCTCATAACTGGCCCTAAGTCTCTGATCCTGAGCTCAGTTTTTGGAGATTTTCACAAGGGGTCTTGGGAAATATAAATCGTCCCCTTGGAGGTTTAAACTTGTGGGTAATTTCACCACATGTCTGTGCATGAGGACATATGTAGAGTGCTAATGTGCATCTCCCATTTTGTGTCACATCTCAAGCTGATTTAATATCAGAAGATTTGAGCCAATCCCGACTATATTATGCAAGTAAATCAGAATATGGTGTCCAACCTAAAAAACATTGACGACAAAGAGAATTTGTTTGAACAGGTAGCATCAACTTTTTAATCCCATACTGTACAATTGAAACAACTGGAGGTTAAGACATAACACCACATTTATGACACCAATTTCCGCAGAGAAATTATAAACCAATATTTAATTTCATTGAACGTTGTCTGTACCATCACATTTCGAATCCCCTGAAGCTAGAAACAAAACTATTTTAGCCAAGACGCTTGAAACATTAAGGTTGATATTTTCTCATTCTTAACTCACGTTAGAAATTAGTTTATAAATCATACTCCTTGTGCGAGGCATTGCAAGCTATTATCACTTACTGGGATTTTAGGCATGTACCTTCATGACTTTTAAGCTTCATGAACTGATCAAATTACCTGCTGCTCATTGTTTGTCGATGTGTCAGTTACATTGTTAATGCTGCTGCTGCTGGTGTCACTGATTTCTTCAGAGTATTGGCTCTTCTTCAAGTGTTTCTGGTGCCTATTAAATAAAACCTGCATACATCATTGAAGCTCCAGTTAAGATTAATCAAGATTTAAGAAAAAAATTGAAAAGATTCAGGATGCAGAAATGCAGTTGTCATTTAGTGGAGGCAATTGGAGTCTCACCTCCTGGTTGGAGAGCCAATGGTACCCCCATGTTGCCTCTTTTAAGGAAGGCTTGCTGCATGAAGTGCCTCTCAAGTAATTGACTGGAAGCGGTGGGCTTTCCCCAGGATCAGGGCCTGGTGGGGGTGGGGGTGGGGGGACGGTGCCAGTGGAGGGGAGGGGGTGGAAGATCTGACTGTCAAGGGGATACTGGACAGGCAGAGGCCAGCAGTGCTATGTCATAGGAGAGTGGTGGCCGCTGACAGTACCATGTCTATCCAACACCTACTTCAATGCTGATTCCAGGAGGGGGACAAGGGGTGAGGGTCATCGGTGAGCCATTCTGACACCCAGTGTGGGGGCCTCAGGTGGAAGGGGTGCTGGTAGGTGGCTCTTGGCTGGCCCCTCACTTCTGAATGCTGGGCCCCTTGATCAGGCCAAATGCATTTGCGTGAAGGAACTGCTCCAAGTTTCCCTCTCTGACCCCTCACTCCTCCGCCTGCCACCAGAAAGCTGCAATCACTACCACATTGGTTTGTTTGTCACTGTGTGGTGAGCAGTCCCACTGACTGCTGGGCTCATACCAACAGAAGCAGGATGAGGTCCTTAACTGGGCACTAACTGTCCACTTAAGGATGTGGATGGTCACTTCAATCGGCAACAGGACAGGAAGGCCATCCCACGGGCCTTCATATCACGGCAAAGAGCATGAAATCACACCTACTATTTCCTCAGGTGCTAGTAAAATACCAGGAATGAGACAACATAATTTTAATATTAGTTGTAGCCCATTTAAGAGTGAAACTAGGAAGAACTGGAACAAAAGCCTTTTCCTTTAATAATTTTATGAAGCAGTCCCGCAGTTGGGCAATGTTGGTCACTTTGTGTGAGCTTCAAATTTGCACAGTCTCCAGACCATTTTTTGTCTGTGGAACAAAGTGGCCAGCAAATACAAGTGAATAAATCATAAATTACGAGCTAATTACTTGTTCTGAGACATCACACTAGCCACAAAGCAATGGCAGCTGATACTTAGGGAAATTCCACTGTATTATTGCCCAGTCTATACACTCAAACTACTGTGGCATTTCTGTTTAGCATCTGCAAACAGATAATACAGGGAACACATTGAGCCATTTACCTTGTACTGATATTTGCAACTAGATACAAAGTCATAATTCATGAGTACTTCAGAACTGTCTTTATCAAGGTAGAAGATACTGCCAAAACTGTAATGAAACAGAGTTGTTTGAAATACTGGGTGGAATAACAACTGGCAAAATGGAACCATTACAAAGGATAATGGTACTGTCACCAGTACTAGATGGGATCTATTGGAGGATGCTGGGAGTAGTGAGGGTATAAGTTTCAGAGGTATTGACCATAATCTTGCTTTGGACTCAGTCCAGTGAAGGTTCATTAGATTGGTCCCTGGGATGAGTGAGTTGCCCTGTGATGAGATGCTGAGTAACAGGGTTTATATTTGCTAGAATTTAGCTAATTTCATTAAAATATTTAATGTTATGCAGGGCTTGACAGGTAGAGACACTATTCCCCTGGGCTTGGGAATCTAGAACTTGGGGACACAGTTTCCAGATAAGGGACCTATCATTTAGGGCTGAAATAAAGATACATTTCTTCAGTGGGTTGTGAGATTTTGGAAATTTCTAGCATAGTGGGTCATCCATGCATCACCGTTAAATATATTTGAACCAGGAAGAGACAGGATTGTAGTCTTTTAGGGAGTCAAAGAATATGAGGAGTGGGTAGGAAAGTGCAGTTGAAGCCAAAGACAGCCCAAGACAAACCACGATCATATTAAACGTTGGAGCAGGCTCAATGAACCACATGATCATCTTCTGGTCCTATTGATGTCCTAATATTGTTTAGATATAGCGATGGTGCCAGGGACTAAAGAAATGCAAGTATTACTCTCTTGTTCTAAAAATGGTGTAAGGACAAGCTCAGCAACTACAGGGAAACAAGCATCTATTTGTTCTTGACAAATCAGATATAACTAATGGCTTGAGTCTGTTGATTAGTTGACAGATGGGGTAGATGAGGGATATGTGATTATGTGGTGTATAAGGATCCTTAAAGAGTATTTGATAAAATGTCACTTAATAAGCTTATCATGAAAACTGAAGCATGTGTAATGAAAAGGACTGTAGTAACGTAGGTGTGAAATTGCTGGAGTAACAGGAAACAGATTATTTGTGAACAATTGCTTTTCGGACTGGAGGAAAGTATACAGGGGATTTCCCACAGTCACCATAAGGATCTCTGCTTTTCTGGATGTGCATTAATGGCTTAGACTTGGATCCACAGATCACAATGGTAAAATTTGTAAACGACACAAAACGTGAAAGTATTTTGAGGAGGATGGCAATCAACTTCAACAGGATATTTAATTTTCCTGACATAGTCTGGGACTGCCATAATGTTAAGGGTTTAGATGGAGTGGAATTTGTTAAACGTGTTCAGGAAAATTTCCTCAAGCAGTACATAGAGGGTCCTACTCATGAAGGGGCAAAACTTGACCTACTCTTGGGAAATAGGGCAGGACATGTGACTGAGTGACAGTGGGGGAGCACTTTGGGACCAGTGACCATAGTTCTATAAATTTTAAAGTAGTTATGGAGATCGACAAAACTGGTCCACAGGTTCAAGTTCTCAACTGGGGCAAGGAATGTTTTGATGGAATTAGACAGGAGCTTGCAGGGGTTGATTGGAGTAGCTTGTTTGCAGGCAAAGGGAGCTCAGGCAAGTGGGAGGCCTTCAAAAATGTGATAGCTAGAGTTCAAGGTTTATATGTTCCTGTGAGGGTGAAGGGCAAGGTTAGCAGGAGTAAAGAACCCTGGATAACAAGAGATATTGAGGCTTTGAACAGAAAAAAAAGAAGGAGGCATAGCTCAGGTACAGGCACCTGGAATTAAGGAAATCCCTGGAGGTATATAGGGGATACAAGAGTTAACTGAAAAGGGAAATCAGGAGAGTGAAAAGGGGGCACAAGGTAGCTTTGGCTGAGAAGATTAGGGTTAATCCAAAGAGATTCTTTAAGTATATTAGAGGAAAAAGAATAACTACAGAGAGAATAGGACCACTCAAGGACCAAAGTGGACATCTATGTGTGGAACTGCAGGAGATGAATGAGGTCCTCAATGAATATTTCTCAACTGTGTTTACCATGGAGAAAGACATGAAGACTTGGGAAAGCCAGTGGCGATATCTTGGGGACAGTCTTTATCACAGTGGAGGTGGTGTTGGACATATTAGAATGTATGAATGGATAAATGTGCTGGTCCTGATCAGGTATATCCCAGAACCCTGCAAGAGGCTACAGAAGAAATTGCGGGGGCCCTGGCTGATATATTTGCATCATCGTTAGCCATGGGTGAAGCCCCAGAAGACTGGACGGTAGTGAATGTTGTGCCCTTATTCAAAAAAGGTTACAAAGAAAAACCTGGGAATTACAGACCAGTAAGCTTAACATCTGTGGTAGGTAAATTACTTGAGAAGATTCTGAGGGATAAGAAATACATGCATTTGGAAAGACATGGTTTGATTAGGAGTAGTCAGCATGGCTTCGTGTGTGGGAGATCATGCCTTACAAATTTGTTAGTGTTCTTTGATGAGGTGACCAGGAAGGTTGATGAGGGTAGGGCAGTAGACATAATCTATATGGATTTCAGTAAGGCCTTTGATAAAGTTTCACATGGAAGGCTGCTCTGGAAGGTTAGATTGCATGGAATCCAGGGAGAGCTGGAAAATTGGTTGCACAATTGGCTTGATGGTAGGAAGCAGAGGGTAATACTGGAAGGATGCTTGTCAGACTAGAGGCCTGTGACTAGTGGTGTGCCTCAGGAGTCGGTGCTGGGCCCATTGCTGTTTGGAACCCAAATCAATGATTTGGATGAGAATGTACAAGGCATGATTAGTAAGTTTGCAGATGACATTAAAATAGGTAGTATCGTGGACAGTGAGGAAGGTTATCAGAAATTGCAGCAGGATCTTGATCATTTGGGGAAGTGGGCCAAGAAATAGTAAATTGAGTTTAATATAGATAAGTGAGAGGCGTTGTGGTTTGGAAAGGCAAATCAGTTAGGAGTTTCATGGTGAATGGTAGGGCCTAAGAAGTGTAGTGGAACAGAGGGACCTTGGAGTGCAGATTCACCCTTCTCCGAAAGTGGAGTCACAGGTAGACAGAGCGGTGAGGGAGGCGTTTGGCACACTGATCTTCATCAGTCAGGGCATTAAGTATAGAAGTTGGGAAGTTATGTTGCAGTTGTACAGGACATTGATGAGGCCGCGTTTGGAGTATTGTATTTAGTTTTGGTCACCTTGCTATAGGAAGGGTGTTATTAAACTAGAAAGAGTGCAGAAGAAATGTACAAGGATATTGCCAGGACTCAAGTGACAGAGTTATAGGGAGAGTTTGCACAAGCTAAGACCTTTTTCTTTAGAGCATAGGAGACTGAGGGGCATCTTACAGAAGTATATAAGATCATGAGAGGCATGGAGAGGCTGAATGCACTCAGTCTTTTTCCCAAGGTTGGACACTGGAGGACTAGAGGGCATCAGTGTAAGGCAAGAGGGGAAAGAATACATGGGAACCTGAGGGGCAACTTTTTTTACACAGTGGGTGGTATGCATATGGAATGAGCTGCCAGTGGAAGTAGTTGAGCCGGGTACATTAACAACATTTAACAGACATTTGGATGAATACATGGATAGGAAAGGTTTAGAAGGATATGGGCCAAGTGCAGGGAAATGAGGTTAGCATGGATGGACGTTTTGGTCAGCATGGAGCCATTCGGGTTGAAGGGCCTGTCTCCGTGCTGTAGGACTCTATGACTCTATGACATAGACAAGCCAGTGGAATGGACAAGTACGTGGCAGATTAAATTTAATGCTGAGAATTGTAAAGTGATATATTCTGGGAGGAGAAGCAGGTGAGGCAATCTGGGTAAAAACATTAAAGGAGATGCAGGGGCAGGTGAACGTGGGGATCTGTGCACAAATTGTTGAAGGTGACATGGCAGATTGAGAATGATTTAAAATCTGCATCCTGAGCTTTATAAACATAAGTATCATGTGTGAAAACAATTTATGAGGAATCCTTATAAAACCCTGGTTCTTCCTCAACTGGAGCACAATGTCCACATAATAGGAAGGCAGCGAAGGCATAAGAAAGAGCTCAGAAAAGATTAATGGGAGTGTTTCCAGGGATCCAGGACTTCAGTGAGATTAGAGAAGCTAGGGCTGTTCTCCTTTGGAAAGAAGAGGTTAATGGGAAATTTGTTAGTGGTGTTCAAAATCATGAAGGGCTCTAGATACAGCAGTTAGAGAGAAACCGTTCCCATTGGCAGAAGGTGCAAGAACCACAAGATACAATTTGAGGTAATTGACAAAAGAATCAATGATGACATGAGGAGAATTTTATAAGCACTGTGAGTGGTTAGGTTCTAGAATTTACTGTCCTGAGGCTGTGATGAAAGCAGATATAATTGTGACTTTCAAAAGGAAACTGGACAAGCACCTAAACAGAAATAAATTGCAGGGCTACAGGACAAGGATAAGAAGTGGTGAAAGTAGAACTGCTCTTGCAGAGAGTAGGTACGGACCATGACAGATAAGTTGCCTTCTTCTTTATTGTGACCATTCCATATCCGTATGATACTATATAGCTTTTTAATTAAGACTATAATCATTGTGGCAACTATTTTCATATCCATCAGCAATTATTTCAGATCGATCATAGGTACCACCTCTGCCAGGTAATCCTATTATCTTGGAGCGCCAACAAAGATAAACCCTTTTTGGTCCCGCTCAGCTGCTCCACTTCACTGTTTAACAAAGGAGGCTCCTTTACCCAATCGAGTCAATCATTAGCTCACATTCTGTTTTTCCTGCCTCTAATTTATTTTTGCCATCTGAAGACTTGTCCCAGCCCTTCTCTTCTGATATATGGCATTTGTAACAAAAAAAAACCCTTGCACCTGAAGCCACATCTTTTTCAGTGCCTGTTGCATTCTGTTCTTGCAATGCTAATAAAACTCCACAGCAGTGTAAACGTTTCACATTAGGGCCAGATTTTCATGTTTCTCTCTGAGTTGGAATGAAGGTGGACAGGATTTAAGAACGACAGCAGGAGGATTTCCACTGTCATTCCTAGCATGGCGGAGTTTTAAGTGCACAGGATAAGCATGTGGGTAGCAAGCCAGCATATAGAAATCCCACATTTGCCCATTCCATTACAGGGATGAACATTTTAGAATATCCATGGAGTTGAGCCCACTTGGTAGTTGATACGTTTCATAGCACCTCAGCAGAATTGTGAAGCATAAGAGCAGCTCAACCTTGGTTCAGGAACTTTTTGACACATAAGTTCGAATGGTTTTGATGAGGTCTCATAGTATAATGCAATGATAAATGACAAGATATATATGTTTTTAATTCAGTGCTTAATGACAGGGCTTTGCTTGGAAAAGGTAAGTGACCATTAAACTGACAAACATTGTGAAAGTTTTCTTAAATGCAATTGTCCTGCTCTTCTACTTTCAAGAGTATAGAGATTCAGATTTTAAATGTGTCAATTTTCCTCAAGATATAATATTTTCTTTGGTCCAACCATCTTTCAAAGATCTTTTAAGTACTGGAACAGATGGCTATCTGTTCCCTTATTTCAAAGATTGAGGAGATGGGCTGAAATATTCCAAAGATATCAAAGATTGTTTTTATATATTCAGCTCCACATGCTTTGTTTACATAGCTGAGCAATGGAATTCTCGAATGACCTCCAAAACACATCAATGAATTTAGCTGAGTAGGGCTGTTGACACAGCTACCAAGGGGACTATGAGCTTTTTATTAATTGATCATATCCTTCCATGGGTGTGGGCATTGCTGGCTAATCCATCAATTATTGTCCATCCCTAGTTGTTCTCGAGAAGGTAGTACTGAGCCACCTTTTTGAACTGCTGCAGTCTATGATTAGTTCGTTACCTTTTGTAAAGATTTTTAAATGGCTGCTTATTTATTTTGACAGTTTTATAAACATTAAAAAAAACCCTCTTTTTAAAGTAGGCTTGGATGGCTATGTATTTTAGTTTACAAGCTTCTAAGAGGGTTAATATTTTGAGTGCAATGACTGTTTGTTTATTTTGGGGTAACATGAACATCTCAAAGGCTTCTCAAAGTTATTGCATGGCTCATGAATTCTGTCTATAGTGGATTCCAGGTGACTGGACATACGGGCATGGAAGGGGCACAAGGTATGAAGGAACTGGGGTTATAGAGGTGATATAGGAGGTGAAGGAGACTAAGGCATGAGTGAGGAAGGTTAGAATTCATAATGGTTATGGGCAGAACTGGAAGATGCCCCAGTCAACAGAGGTGGCCAAATCTAACCTGTCTATCCCAGTATCCACCCACTTTGGCCCTACTTTCAGAGGTGCCAGCCCCAACTCTGGTCAGTCCCTACCACTCCATTGTGAAAGAAAGCATGGACAGGCACTGGGGAAATGGGATTGTGACATTAGGGAATAACAGGAGATGTGATTCCTATCATAAGGATGAAACTCCAGGTCTAAGGGTTCATTATTAACGTCAATTAGGACTGAATAAGGAAGATGCTATGACCTTGGCCATGAATAGAACACTGAAACATAATCTGTTGTTCTGCACTTATTTTGCAGAATCATTGGACTTTATTAGTTGGTCCCTGAAAAACAAAGTAGGTATGTATCTTTTACATTTATGATTTAACAATCTAAATCTAGATATAATCTAAAGAAAAAGGCCATTTTATATTTTACTTCAATTTCTGGCACACACCACAAAGCCATTATGTGAATTAATGAACAGGATTAGAAACGTGATTAGGAATAGGAGGCAGATTTTCTGTTGCAAGTATTGGATACTAGGAGTATTGTGCTCAACGATCCACATTCACTCCTGATTGTACAATGCCTCAATTTTAAAATTCTCATCCTTGTTTTCAAATCTCTTCCAGTCCCTGTAACCTGCTGTAGGTGCACAACTCTCCAGGATATGTTTACTCATCCAATTCTGGCTTCTTGAGTTCCTCTGATTTTAATTGCTCCACGATTGGTGGGAGTGCCTTCAACTGGCCAGACTCTGATTTTTAGAATTCCCTTCCTAAATCCACATCATAATGTCATAGAGTCACAGAGTCATACAACATGGGAAACAGACCCCTCAGTCCAAACACATTCCCAACTAAACTATTCCCATTAACCTGCTTTTGGCCCATATCCCTCCAAACCCTTCCTATTCATGTGCTTATTCAAATGCCTTTCACATGTTGTAACTTACCTGCATCCACCACTTTCTCTGGCAGTTCATTCCACACAGGAACCACTCTATGTGTAAATTAGTTGTCCCTCATGTCCTTTTAAATCTCTCTCCTCTCACCTTAAAAATATGCCCACTAGATTTGAACTCCCCCACTCTAGGGAAAAGACCTTTGCTATTCACCTTATCCATGACTCCTCATGATTTTATAAACCTCAATAATGTCACCCTACAACCTCCTACGTTCTGGCGAAAGAAGTCTCAGTCTATTTTTATATCTCAAACCCCCATTCCCGGCAACATCCTGGTAAATCTTTTCTGAACCCTCTCCAGTTTAATAAGATCCTTCCTATAGCAAGGCGACGAAAACTGCATACAGTGCTCCAGAAAAGGCCTCAACAATGTCCTGAACAACTTCAACTTGACGTCCCAACTCCTATACTCTCCTTTTCTGTTTCTTCCTTTAAGTTGCTCCTCAAATCCCACCCCTTTGACCAAGATTCTGGTTATCCGCTCTAATGTCATCTGTGAGACTTGGCATCAAATTTTGCTTGAGAACAGTCCTGCTAAGCATCTTATGAAGTTTGTTACATTAAAAGTGCTATGATACCACAAGCCGTTGTTCTGAACATGGAATATATCCTAACAATGTTCCAAAACATCAGGACAACAACTGCCTTGGGATAATGAAACTCTTTAGGAATTTCAGGCCCTTAAATTCTTTGCCTTGGCAACAGATTATTGCAAAATCATGTTACCATGTTGGATTTCATCAGAAATCACTCCTACGAAAAGGCTAAAATTAACTGTTCGAGGCATTTTGAATCCTAATTTTAAAACATTGACTTAAGTGCATTTCTTCATAAAACAGGTTATTGAACATGATCCAGTTGGACTCACCTGTAGCAGTGTGTAACACAAGCTCCCACAGACAGCAGACAGATTAACACTACCACGCATATAGCTATAAGCACATTACGTCTCTTCTCTTCCTCAACACGATGCAGCTCCCACCATTGTAAGTCGCTGTATTCACATCGTTCCCCCATGTAGCCTTTCAGACAGCTATTAAAATGGCAGAATATTATAATTGTAACAAAAATATTAACTCATTCTGAAGAACGGTCACTGGTCATAGTGTCATAGAGCCATACACCACGGAAGCAGACCCTTCACTCCAACTTGACCGTGCTGATCAGACATCCCTATCTGACATAGTTCCATTTGGCAGCATTTGGCCCATATCCCTCTAAACCCTTTCTATTCATGTACTCATCCAGATGCCTTTTAAATGTTGTAATTGTACCAGCCTCCACCACTTCCTCTGGCAGCTCGTTCTATACATGTCCACTATCTGCGTGAAAATGTTACTCCTCAGGTCCTTTTTAAATCTTACCCCTCTCACCTTAAACCTAAGCTGTCTAGTTTTGGACTCCCCTAGCCTGGGAGAAAGACCTTGGCTATTCACCCTATCCAGGCCCTTCATGATTTTATAAACCTCTAAGGTCAGCCCTCAGTCTCCCAGGCTCCAGGGAAAAAAGTCCCAGCTTATCCAACCTCTTCCTTTAGCTCAACCCCTCCAGTCCCAGTCTCTCCACGGGTTCTGCCAGACCTGTTGTTTCTCCAGCTTCTTCTGTTTTTGTTTCAGATCTTTAGCACTTGCAGTTCTTTGTTTTAACACTACAACTGTACTCTCACTAAAGATTAGTGAGAGAACATGCTATGTTCTTATGTTCTCACATAAGATTAACGCAATGGGAATTGCTCTGCCTCATATTTCTGCCATAACATTAGAGTTAGAAAAATAAATTCAGAACAACTAAATCATCTTCCTGAGCTCCCTGGAAGTGAGCAAAATGGCCAGTGTGGCTGACTGAAACAGTGTTAGGCCTCTTGATTATGCTGCTGAGAGTCCTAGTGTCTGTTTAATGTCCCCAATCCTAAATTGAACAAAACCTGAATTGTTAAGTTTTTCCAGGTACCAACTGCCTCACCCAGCAGTCCTTAAGAGAGCTCTGTGAGAGCGGGTCATTTTTATTTTACAGCCTGAAGATGGAAACCGGAGGAGCATGAGTGACATTTCCCATTCCACAGCCGTACAGTAGGTACTTCCAGCCCTTGCTTGCATCCTTCCCTTTGACCTATGCCCTCCCTCCAGTGATGATGCCAATTTTACAGCCAGCCAACAACAGTGTTCTCTCGACAAGACGGCCGACTGACATGACACTCTTGGTTAAATACTTATGGGGGCCCTTGGCAAGGTGCAAAGTGGATGTTATCTCCTCAGGTTTATCTCCCGTTTCAGGCTCAATCTGTATTTCTAGCCTCATTTATTCCATTGTTTTTTCTAAAGTTAACACCCGTGTCATTAATGTGTGTGTACAAGTTCTGAACGTGCAGTTGTTTTCATGTCATTTTTCACCTCTAGGTGGAATGTGATGCTGGCTCTCTACTCTCATCACTGCTCCTCTGGTAGCAGGTTAATAAAGTGATTGGGAGGGACATTGACAGAACAATACCCTGCACCCTTTGTTTCACATCCCCACTGCACAAAAAAAAAATCTCCCTACCTCACCCCCTCCACACTCTCGGAAGAATGGTGTAAATGACCAGAATAAAAAATGTCCCACTTTACCCTCTCTCTTTTTCTGAGAGTTCAGGACTTCACGTCAGTGTCCAGACACTTTAGACAAAATCTACAAAAGCTGCCTGACATGCTGAGCATTTCCAGTATTCTCTTTTCTTTATCTAATCATTTCAGTTTGAGACTTTGTGCTATTATCCCATACGAACTGCCAAAATACATTGCATGTGACAACACTGCCCTCTGCTGCATTTGAATTTTTTTTTTAAAAAAATTAAGCTTTCACCAATTTAACTGAAGGAAGGGGTTGAATCTGGAATCTGTGGTCCAGCTCATTGTTTTTAACTGTATTCTTCTGCTTTTCCTGCAAACATGTGTGTGAACTACCAAGAAAATATGGAATCAGCGGGGTAACTTTGACTTTAGCTAATAGGTTAAAGCAGCCGAAGTAATTTGACCACAGTACATCTCTTTCGATTTTCATGGAATCCATTACTATGTCTGCTTTCATGGTTTTTCACATGAATACTCACACTCAGCATTACCCACAATCAGACTGTTTCTCCATCACTGGCCCAATTCTCTTTTTTAAAAACTTTGGGTCAGGGTGTAAAAAGTCGGGACTAGTCCTGGCTCCTGAACCTGGCGACGAGAGGACGTGGGGATTGTTGAAGCAATTACTAGTCGGGATTGTGTCCAGGAAACCCCTTTAATTTGCAGAGTGGTTTGCAAAGCGGAAAGGCTAATTAGAGATGCTACAGTTTCAAAGGAGCTGCCGGCTGCAGTTCAACATGAAGGGTGCACTTGTGCACATTTTTAAAAATGTAGCAAGGAAAAATAGAAAAAGCTGTCGAGTGGATGGGGAGTGTGAGGGGAAGGATCCAATTGGCTTGGGTTACATTGGTACCAACTGCATAGGTTGCACTCGGAAAGAGTTTCTATTAAGATGTTTGGTACACTTGCCTTCATTGGTCAGTGCATTGAGTATAGGAATTGGGATGTCATGTTGCGGCTGTACAGGATATCGGTAAGGCCACTTTCGGAGTATCATGTACAGTTCCGGTTGCCCTGCTATAGGAAGGATGTTATTAAGTTGAACAGGGTGCGGCAAAGATTTATAAGGATGTAACTGGGACTGGAGGGTTTGAGTTAGAAAGATAGGCTGGGACTTTTTCACTGGAGCGTAGTAGGTTGAGGGGTGACCTCATAGAGGTTTCTAAAATCAGGAGGGCCATCAATAATTGGCAAAGGTCTTTTCCTTAGGGTAGGCAAATTCAAAACTAGAGGGCATAGTTTTAAGTTGAGAGGGGAAAGATTTCAAAGGGGCCCGAGGGGCAACTTATTCACACAGAGGGTGGTGCATATATGGAATGAACTGCCAGAGGAAGTGCTCGATGCAGGTACAGTTACAACATGTAAAGTACATTTAGACAGGGACACGAATAGGAAAGGTTTAGAGGGACATGGGCCAACACAGGCAAATGGGTCTAGTTCAGTTTGGGAAATCTGGTCGGTAAGACGAGTTGAAGTGAAGGGCCTGTTTCCGTGTGTATGACTCAATTACTCTTAACTGGGGGTTAAATTACAGGTTAGAACCAGAAAGTTAATAATCTCTCCACTTTTTTGTTATCTGAGCCACAAGAAAATACATAGGAGCACTGGGTTTAATTAATGGGTCATATGGAATAATGTGGATCAAATGGGTTGTGTTTCATAGGATACCAGCTCCAATATTTGGGAAAGAAGGTTAGAATGGCTGAACCACAATGAAACCATACCAGTGTCCCATCTGAATGATTAGAGAGGGCATTAAATAAAATAGTGTTGGTGGAGTTACATCAGAGGAGATTGAGAAAGTTAGTGATAAAGGACAAGTCAATAATTCCATAGAATCCCTATGGTGTGGAAACAGGCCCTTTGGCCCAACAAGTCCACACTGACCCTCAGACCCATCCCCCTAATCTACACATCCCTGTAGATGGGCAATTAGGCATGGCCAATCCACCTAGCCTGCACATCTTTGGACTGTGGGAGGAAACCTACACAGACATGGGGAGAATGTGCAAACTCCACACAGACAGTCACATGAAGGTGGAATTGAACCTGGGTCTCTGGCACTGGGAAGCAGCAGTGCTAACCACTGAGCCACCACTTCCGCCCCAGTAATGTAGGATAGTGATCCAGCAAATGATAATCAGGCACAAATTTTACCAATACACCAGCAAATAGGGTAAGAGTAAGGGAAATGTTATAAAGACAGAATTAGTTGTTTTTTTTAATCTGAAAGCATGCAACTTCCAAGATGGATGAATTGATTTTACAAATTGATGAGATTTGGGCATTGTTGGTTAGGCCAGCATTTATTGCCTATTCCTAATTGTCTTGGAGAAGTTGGTGGTGAGCTGCCTTCTGCTATAGTTCTTGGGTTATAGGCACATCTGCAATGCTGTAAGAAAGGGAGCTCCCAGGATTTTGACCCAGTGACTATGAAGAAAGTGTGGTACACTGGCAGTTAGGATGGTGAGTAGCTTGGGGAGATCTTGCCAGTGGTGTTGTTCCTGTGTATCTACTGCCCTTGCCCTTCTAGATCAGGTTTGGAAGGTGCTGTCATGGGATGTTTGGTGAGCAACTGCAGTGCATCTTGTAGATGGTGCATACTGCTACTACTGAGCATTAATGCTGGAAAGTTATGTTGAAAGTAGTGGATGAACTGTCCATCAATTGGGCTGTTTCATCTTGGATGGTGCTAAGTTTCTTGAATGCTGCATTCATTCAGCAAAGTGAGGAGCATGCTATCACACTTCTGTTGTGTTCCTTGTAAATGGTGGATAGGCTTTGGGGAGTAAGCAGGTAAGTTACTCTTCTCTGCCTCTGATCTGCTTTGCTAGCAACAATGTAGGCAGTCTAGTTTAGTTTCTAGTTAATGTTAACCCCCCCCAGGATATTGATAGTGGGACTTTCATTGACGGTAATCCCATTGAATGCCAGAGTGAGATGGTTCGATTCTCACTTGTAGAGCTGGTCATTGTCTGGCATTTGTCAGATACAAAAGTTACTTGTCACTTTTCAGCCCAAGCCTGCATATTGACCAGGTTTTGTTACATTTCGAGAAGGACTAATTCAATATTTGAGGAGTTGCACATGGTGCTGAACATTGTACAATCATCAGCAAAAATCCCCACTTCTGACCTTATGATGGAGGGAAGGTCATCGATGACGCAGCTGAAGATGGTTGGGCCTAGGGCCCTACCCTGAGGAACTCCTGCAGAGATGTCGTGGAGTTGAGATGATTATCCTCCAATAACCACAACCTTCTTCTGAAATCAGGAGGAGGTTTCTTGACGTTCTTTGACGTTCTTTGACATTGCTGTTGGTGGGACTTTACTATGGGCAAATGCCTGCATTATTTCTTTCGTTATGCAAGTTACTGCACTTCAAAAGTTGTGAGGCACTTCAGGACAGCCTGAAATTGTAAAACTTTGCCATTAACTTAAATTTCAGTCCAGTGATAGCATCTGACTACTGCCTGATGGTGCAAACTATCTGTCTAGTGCTTTCTTCAGTTTGTGACTACTTAGAAGACCATTTTGCAATCTATGCTTGAAAATGAAATGCAAATCACTGACTTCACTTACTTGCATGCAAACATTGTTATCTCAGGGATATGGAAACAAACCCCTCCATTCAGACAGAAGTCCTGATGCGAGAGCGGGCAAGTCGCAATGTGATTATTTTGCTTGTGTGTCGGAGTTTCAAAAGTAGTGCTCCTGACAGTTATCTCCATCGAGTCATCAGTAGGCAAGGCTGAGCCGATCACACCTGAGAGAATAGTAGACATCTTATACCTTGAACCATCCATGCTACAGAGCTTATGATTGCTGGGCAGGAGAAAAATGTGGTACTCAGGTCTTTTAACATAGTTTCTGGGAATATGGACATCATGACCATATGTTCTCCATCCCTAGCAATTATTACGAAGATGTAGCTGCTTCTTATTCATCTATTACATTTGCTGAAAGTGCTTCAACTGTCAGCTGGAAAGTTCAGTCCTTTCAATTCAGAGACCATAATGTAAATACATGTCCAAATAGAGTTGGTTTGTGTCTTGGTGAGATGGAGTTCCCATGCATCTGCTGACCCACTAGCTACAGGCTTGTGAGTTCAACTTAATAGTCAATAAAAGTGTTTCACATTAATAAACTTATCCATGTTGTTACATTTGAACATTTGAAGAATTTGAAATGCATTGATGGAGGCGTGAAAATATCATTTCAATCATTCCTCTCCAGTAGCAAGGAAGTGTCAGAAGTTAGAATCCCTGGGAATTCCATAGAGTGACTCAGTCTCTGAGACTGATTCTTCCAGGGTAGTGTAGCAGAAATCTTAATTATGTACACAGAGGAATTTCTGCTGAACTGCCAGCAAAGTGATAGCAGTCCAGCAGGAGCAACTGCAATGAAATTCCTGACCAACAAAATTTTCCCACAGGCACATTTTTGCTAAAATGATTACACGGCAAAAATATATAACAAAATCTTTCACATTTCTATTTTTTAAACCTACCAGTACAGAAGAATTCATCTATGGGTTTTATCCAAAAGGATTTCCTTGAAATATAGCATTTTTTAAACAAACACTGTAAATGGCATTAAATAACAAAAACAATAAATCACTAATTCTTACAACTGACCGATGGGGTCAGGTGTCTTCTGGGGTGGGAAGGGAAGAAGGCTCGTTGCCACACTTTGCCCCCTCCAAGTAATGAAGTTTGGGATTGATTCCTCCTCCACTTAGCCAGCGAGTAATGTTTCCATTTCTTTAGGCAATGGTCCTTTAATTAGCATGAGGCAGGATCTCTGTTCACCTCCCAGAGGCCATCCTACCTATTGAGTGCTCGTGAATCAAAGGTTGAAGGCCGTGCACACTGGCAGCGCCAGCATTGAGATATGGCCATTGGTAGTACTGCAAGTAGGTCAGGGGAGTAACATTTGACAGTGGACACAAGTATTCAGGTAAGTGTGGGATCTCAGCCGACAGGCACTAGCAGAGTGTTGAGGGGGGCACGTTGGAACAGGGCTGGATGGGGGACCAAGGGTGAAAGTGAGGATGCAAAACTGTGGCAGAGGATTGTCTGACTGGCATGGAGGGTGTGTTCTGCCTCCCAACCTTTTAGCGAACAGCAACCTGCAGGGTTAAACTACTCGAGTGGCACATTCGATGCAGGCCTCTCCTGCCAGTTATATAATTGGACAGACAGCAGTATGAGACTCTTCATTGGCTATTACTTGCCTATTCGAGCACCTCAGTTTGGCCATGTGCGGAAAACTCATCTGATGCCTCCCCAGCCATCTTTAAAATCATGCAGGAAGCAGGAGTGAGTGGACAGCCAATAGGTACACAGCTGAGGACATGGCAACCAAACTATTGGTCCTGGTATAACTCCCACCTGCCATTGCTCATAACACTCAGCTAATGAAGCTTGTGGACTTACCTTTACAGCTATAACCTGTCCCCCAAAAGCCTTTGTTACATGTACAGATGTAGTTGCCATCTGTGTTTGTGCACACAGCATTTTCATCACAGTTGTGCATCCCAGTTTTGCATTCATCAATATCTGCAAACATAACAGGTATCACGTGTTGGAATTGACCATAAACTTGGGGAATATTTATACCTTTATATAAGTATTTATTTAGTTTATAGTTTCCATTCCAAATGATGCATACTTTGGAGAATTCACATTACAGGTTTGGGGAAATTTCTTTTGAGAAGGTTGAGTACGTTAGGTATGTGCTCATTGGCATTCAGGCGAATGAAAAGAGAACTTATTGAAACATATACGATTATTAGGGGACTTGATAGAATCGGTGTGGAAAGGTTGTTTTCTCTTGTGGGAGAATCGGGAGATGCAGAGGACATAATCTCAAAGTAAGAGGGCACCCAGTTAAGACAGAGATAAGGAGCAATTTCTTCTATCAGCGGGTAGGGAATCTATGGAATTCTTTATCAAAAAAAGCTACTGAGGTTGGGTTATTAAGTACATTCAAGGCTGAAATAGATGTATTTTTTAATATGTAAGGGAATCAAGGGTTATGGAGAAAAGAAAATGTGGAATTGAAGAATATGAGATCAGTCAGGATCACACTGAATGGTGGAACAGACTCATTGGTCTGAATGACTGATTCTGCTCTTACATCTTATGGTCTTAGAGGTTAGAAAAGCATACTAAAATGCAAGCTATAAAGTAGAAGGTAAACATTAAGTCAACAATGTCAAGAAGATCATGTATCACAACAGTACCACTGTCCACAAGGTATAGGAGCAGAATTAGGTCACTCAGCCCATCAAATCTACTCTGCCACTCGATCATGACTGATATGTCCAGATGGATGAGGGAAATTAGTATAACACCAAATGCAAACAGTACTCCTCACCATAACAGAGGAGCCCGTCACCACTATAGCCAGGATGGCATTTGCAGACGTAGCCGCCCTCTGTGTTAATACAATCTGCTAGGTGTCTGCTGCAAAGGGAAGCATCAGTGGCACATTCATCAATATCTGCAAGAAAATCATGTGTATTAGAGAAATGGACTGGTGTCACTATTATAAATGAATCATTGAAACATAAAAATATGGGTACCAGATTGGCTGGCTTCCACAATGCTGGTCATTACATGACAATGATAATGAAGTTGTTGTCTATTCTTGACAAACCATCTTTATTGGTTAATCTTCAGCAGTCCCAAAAACAAAGCAAAGGCTAGTGGTGAAACTCTTTGGGAACACTAGGTCCAAAGTCACACTACATGTACCTTAGTGTGATGATAAAAAAAAAAAAAAAAATTTAAGTCTTTCATGGGATGTTGGTATCACTGGACAGGTCAGCATTTATTGCTGACCTAATTACTCTGGAGAAGGTGATGATGAGCCATCTTCTTAAAAGCTTTCATTCCTTGGGACATAGAGATACCATGGTGCTGATAGCAATGGTGAAGGAATATTGTTCCAAGTGAAGATAATATGCGTCTTTGAGGGGAATTTGTAGATCATGACGCTCTTGTCCTTCTAGATGCTAGAGGTTGAGAGTTTGGAATGTGCTTTCAAAAGAGCCTTGGTGAATTTCTGCAGTGCATCTTGTGGATGGTACACACTTTTACATCTGTGCATCAGTGGTGGAGAGAGTGAACACTTATGGATGTGATGCCAACAGTTGGCTGCTTTGACCTTGATAGTATTCAGTTTCCTGAATGTTCTTGGGCCTTTATTCATTCAGGTAAATGGACGGTGTTCCATTTTAATTCTGACATGTGCCTTGTAGATAGTAGTGAGGCTGAGGAGTCAGGAACTCACTACAGAATCCCTAGCCTCTGACCTGCTTTTCTACCCACAGTATTTGAATGGATAGTCCAGTTCAGTTTCTGGTCAGCCCCCATGATGTTGTTTGTGGGGAATTCTGCAACGGCCATTGAATGTCAAAAGCAAGACACACAAAGTAAGAAGAGAACGGATGAAATTGGTGACAGGTAGACTGCCAAGGAACTTATTTAATAACTTGAAGCTGAATTTTCACATTGGCACAGATCAGATTGTGCCATCTGTCTATACCAGACATTAAAAATTTAATTAACCTTGAGTGCCAGCAAGCAGATTACTAGGCATAACTGGCCAAAGAGTGATGCTAAATTGGCAAAATAAATTCAATGCACAGGTTTCAGTTATGTAACTGGGACTTTGCTGTTTGGAAATCATTTAAAACTTCACTCATGGAGTAAAACTAATTCATCAATCAGTGTATTTCAGGGAAAGCAAAATCTGTGTACCCAGAAGAAACTTGCTTCGCTCAGAATTAAAAACAAAAACAAGATGTTAAATGAATTCCTCACCACTGCAGATTGTGCCATTGCCAGTAAATCCTTCCAAACACTGGCATCTACCAATTCCTTCTGGGGCAAAACATTGAGCATTGAGATCACATTCCAGCATTCCACAGTCATCTTGATCTTGAACAAGAAAATCAAACAGTATTAGCAGAAATAATAAATAAATAAGTAGCTTTTAACAGGAATCATATTGGCTTTTCCCCTGTGTATGTCACAGGATTATGCAGAAAATTTAGAAAAGTTCAGCCTCAAAAGGAAAAATAAAATCAGAGGGGACCTCAAAACAGAATCTAAAATGGCAAGGGTAAGAGAAGTGGTGATCCAGAGCATTCTTTCAACTTAGATCAGGACTATAAGACAAAGACAAGTGATAAAAGGGAAGGTCTTCATGTAAGGCCTGAAAAATCTTCTGCATAGATTTATGGGAAATGGGACTTAATTTTTATAGGGCTTTATTGTACCTTTAGAATGTCTCAAAATTCTAAAGGTACAATAAAGTGCTATAAAAATTAAAACGCATTCTTTGTAACCAATTGACTACTTTTGAAATGGATTGAATGTTGCTATGTGGACATATGCTTCAACCAATTACATACTGCAAGACCCTAGAAATAGCAAAGAACAAGGCTCAGAAAAAGTACAGTTTGTGATGTTAATTAAAGGAAGACTGTTGTTTGAATTGTGCTCTGGACCATTTACATCAACGCAACTAGACAGAGAGAGCGTTGATTAAATGCTTCACCTGAAAGATGTCATCTCTGACAATGGGAATTCTGTCAGAACTATTTGTCAATATAGATTATGTAACTCAAGTCTATAACAGACCCTTAACCCGCACCTTACCATGGAACTCCTACAGTGTGGAAACAGGCTCTTCGGCCCAACAAGTCCACACCGATCCTCAGAGCATCCTACCCAGATCCATCCCCCTCTCATCCACCTAATCTACACATCCCAGAACACGATGGGCAATTTAGCATGGCCAATCCACTTAACCTGCACATCTTTGGACTGTGGGAGGAAACTAGAGAACCCAGAGGAAAACCCATGCAGACACAAGGAGAATGTGCAAACTCAACACAGACAGCCACCTGAGGGTGAATTGAACCCGAGTTCCTGGCGCTGTGAAGCATCAGTGCTAACCACCGAGCCACTGTGCTGCTCCAGTTGCAGAATGCCACTAACACAGGCAAACATTCTGGAATTTTTTGAAAGGAAACTAGATGCTGTGGTTGTGGAGCTAGGGAGAGTGAACTTTAGTTTTCTGTGAAAGGATAACTTAGATGGCCAAAAAGCCCTCCCTCACCTGTTGCTATCTTTGTGCTGTTTATACTCCATTAGTACAAAATGTAATCATCAGAGTTTATAATTCATTTCTGATGCACAAATCGAATTTTAAGTGTTTAAATTTTAAGTGCTCACTTTCATATAAACTACAGTTTTAAATAAATTTTATAGCTCATGTAACAACTTAACTAACATCCCTAGTAAAACAGATAACTGCTTCCCATGCCAAAAAATAAATGCAATAAGTCTTTATCCCATTACGTTCACATGAAAATTTTAGAAACTCAGTAATGTTCTATACTAATTCAATAGCTGTGAATAGCAATTAATGTGGAAGCTGAAATGATTGCTTTTAGCACTGCTGCCTCAAAACTACCTAAATATCAGTAAATTTGGTCTGCATTATGTATTGGTTGATTTTCAACTGCCGTTCCAAAAGCAGCTGTTACCTGATACCATTATCTCCGCCACAAGCGTGGATCTTGGCTGGAGCTCAGCTGTAATCTCGTCCTCATTGAAATTGGTAACGGAGGAACTCGGTTGTGTGGGTGACACTTCCTCCTTTTGTAATGTTGTGGCTATTAACACATTTACCTCGTGGGATGATGTTTTTCTGGAAGCTGTTAACAAAACAGAGGTCTGATTAGTGATCTGCTTAACATGTTTATTCAGTCTGCAAGCATTATCTTGATCGTATCTTCACTTGGATATGTGCATAAGTTATTGAAGTTGGCAGGATACGTTGAGAGAGCAGTTAAATAAAATATATTCTTCCCAAGTTTTATCAATATGAAGTTAGATTGCAAGAGCAAGGAGGTTATGTTCAACTTGTATAGGACATTAGTTCAGCCTCAGCTGGAGTATTGTTTACAGGGGAGGCAATGTCTTAGTGGTATTATCACTGGACTGTTAACCCAGGGACCCAGGTAATGTCCTGGGGACCTGGGTTTGAATTCCACCATGGCAGATGGTGGAATTTGAATTCAATAAGTGTCTGGAAGTAAGAAGAATCTAATGATGACCGTGAATCCATTGCCGATTGTTGGAAAAACCCATCTGGTTCACTAATGTCCTTTAGGGAAGGAAGCTGCCATCCTTACCTGGTCTGGCCTACAAGTGACTCTAGACCCACAGCAATGTGGTTGACTCACAACTACCCTCTGGGCAGCTAGGGATGGGCAATAAATGCTGGCCTAGCCAGCGATGCCCTGATGCCATGAATGTGTCAAAAAAAAGTTCTGGGTATCACATTTTTACAAAGATATGAAAGTACTACAAAGAGTGCAGAAAAAATGTATGGAATGATTTCAGAGATAAGCAATCTCAGTTACAAAGATAGATTGCAGAAGTTAGAATCGTTTTCCTTGGGGAAAAGGTGGCTGAGATGAGATTTGATAGAGGCATTCAAAATCACTCACAATCTGGAGAGAGTAAATAGGGAGAAATTGTTCCCGCTGGTGGAAGGATTGAGAATGACAAAGCACAGATTGAAAGTAATATAAGCAAAATGAGCATGAGCAAAAGAAACAATTTCACACAGAGTGGCTAAAATCTGGAATGCACTGTCTGGGATTTTGGTGGAAGCAAATTCCAGTGAGGCATTCAAAAGCAATTAAACTATTAACTGAAAAGGAAGAATGTGCAGGGTTATGGGGACAAGGCTGGGGTGAAATCCCTGACTTTTTATTTCAATGGAAACCTTAGCTTTCAGTACTGATCTGGATACTACTGATTTGGCTACCTGACCAAAGAGCTATACAGAGGAAATTCTGGAGCTCAGAAATAAGTAATTGAAAGCATAGCCACTAACGGTTAGAAGTGAAGGATGCACAAGATGGCACAGCTGGAGGAGCTTTATAATTTTTCAAAACATTTTGTTCACTGATGAGATTTGGGGGTCATTGGCTGGACCAGTATTTATTGCCCATCACTAGCTGCCCTTGGGAAGGGTGGTGAGCTGCTTTCTTGAACCACTACAGTTCATGGAATACAAATTAGCTTTCAAATTAGATATTAAATCAGAAGCTGAACAGGAAAATACATTTCTATACACAATTAGCATTTAACTGATGATGGCATAGCTAGCCAAGTGGTAAAAGAAGCAATATATAGGTTTAAAGAGAAACTGAAAAACATTGACAATTACTTCATCATCAAATCTAATAAAATTCTTGAAAGACATGATTTAATAGAAAAGTGTAGCATCTAGGCAATAATTTCATTTATGATTTCTACAAATTAGTGAAGAAATGTGACTTTAAGTTACAGTTCATAAAAGATAGAAATGTTCTAGGAATTGCGAATGCATCTGTCAGATTTAGAAAAAGGATTTGTTCATGATGAGGATGTCGTTAGCTAAGTGAGAACTCATTGCCCATCCCAAGTTTGTTAGTACTCATCAACACACTGCTATAGGTATGAAGTCACATGTATGATGACAGAATTCCTTCCTGACAGGACATTAGTGAACCAGATGGGTTTTTAGAAGAATGATCACAATTAGGCTGGAATTGAATCAAATTCCACAATCTGTCACGGTAGGCCTCAAATACAGAACATTAGCCTGAGATTCTGGATTACTAGATCATGATATTACCACTTTGGCACCATCTCTCCAGATTTATTACAGTTTAAAGCACACTTGATTCTACAGAAAGTTTTTCAAATAATCAGTGAAGTTGAGATCCAGAAACAAGATGAATCAATCCTAAGAGAAGAAGATCAATTTTATCAGAATCCATTCCATTCTTAAGGTACACAAGATAGGTGAGCAACCATTAATTACTCCAATTAGTACAACACTAGACATTTAAACTTCCTGTCAGAACTGTGGAACAAGTAAACCTCACAGGAACTGATACTGCCCAGCTAGTAAAAGTGAATGCTTTATCTGCGACATAAAAAAGACCATTTCCAGAAAATGAATGGAGGGAAACAGTTCCAGAAAAGCAAGGAATGAAATCACTTCCTTTGCCAAGAAGTTAGACAGTCTATAACAGAAGAAATGCCTAAAATGTTTCCAGGGAAAAAGATGACCCAGACCTCTTATATTTTGCTGAGCTGGTATTTATGTCAATGTTCATCTCATAAATTTGAAGTTAAACCCTGGGACACTTTATATTATGTTATCAGAATCATGGCTCAGAAAACACTATCCACAGCAAGACAACAGTGCAACTACATGGTCCATGAGGCATAGCACTTAATATCATGTTACAAGTTATTCTTCAATTTGGGGACTCCAAATTGTAGACAACCAACAAGTATTTCACAATCAAAAATCCTCACTCTTGAGGAGGAAGGCATATTTTGACCCCAATCTTTTTCAAATGATGGAAGGAGTTAAACTATGCACAATTAAGGAACTATTGGTTAAGAAATAGCTCTACATGGAACAGCCAGATGAGGAACAACTTGTCAAAGGACAGCCAACTGAAGATTTCACTGGTCTCCTGAGATACATGGCAGAATCTAAACAAGCAAACAGAATCCATTGAGATTAGTTTTATTGGTATATGAAATTTGTTTCATACTATCCACAATTTGGGAATCGATGACTGAACTGGATGGGCCTAAATATTTTCCATGACTGTCCACAGTAGAGAATCCATAGATTGGAAGATCCAGTAAGGTTTAGGAAGAAAAGCAAGCATTGCAATAGCAAATGAATAGCAAACATCACTTGATCCAATTGATTAAACTATACAACTGATGAAACTTGCAGTGCAACATAGCTTGGTGAACAACTAACTGTGACAGATTCAATTACAATGTTAGATGTGAGTTAGCTCAAAGAGGCAAGTTCAGGAGGAATATTTGACTTCATTATCTTGCCAGGGAGCATCCTTGCTAACTGTGACAGAGACCATGTCAAGTGTTGTATTCCCAGCTGATGTTATCACCAGCTAAGTCAGCTCTCTGTAAAAACCTGGCTTGATAGATTACATTTTTGTATGGATTTAATGAACTGGTCTCTCACTGAAACAGAAGCACACTATAATTCAGAAGTTTATTACAACAGAAATGAAGAAAGAATAGAATAAATGAAAACCATATCCTTAAAATACAAATGCAATGATTTTTACACACACAATGAAAGTATAAATCTGTTAGTCCCAAAACATTTTGTTATAAATTGAATAACAAATAGCTTTGCAAAGTACACAAGACACATCTCTACTACAGTTGCCAAAACAACACTTGTGTAATACTCACACCAGGGTCCCTGTACCAAACACCTCACTAAATTTAACTCAGTTGTGACCTCACCTCTTAGACTGGAACTGCAGATAAGCAGATAACTTCTTCCCAGAGCAATCACACACCTTAGCATCACTATACTCAGGTTTAAGTGACCTCTTCACGTTTTTAAACCCAATAATTCTGATTTGGAACTAACATGAGCTCTTCAGCCAAAATAATTTCATTCATTATGTACATATATCTGGGGTGGCACAGTGGTTCAGTGGTTATATCAATGGGCGAAATGGCCTGCTTCCACACCGTAAGGATTTGTGATTCTATACCTTGTATATAGCATTCCTGTCTCAGGAGCACTGGTCTACACAGTCAGCCTGTTTCGAGGACTTCACAGGGCTAATTTACTAAAAGTTAAAACGAAAACTAAAAGTCTCTCTCTCAGCTCTGTCATTTTCCTTAACATTAAACAAATTCCAGCACTCTCTAAAAAACATTTGAGGCCCCATTATCTACCTTGCTGAGTCACAAAAAAAAAATGAATAAAAGTCCGTTAGTGAACAAAATCCATTCAACAGCAACAATTCTTAAGTAACAGAACTGAGGAAGGGACCAGGTTGCTTTCACAAACAGTGCATCTGTTAAGGTGAATTACAGCATCAAATACAACCATGACATTAAAGTAAAGAGTTTACATGCTTCAGCACAGATCTACAGGTGGATTGAGAATAAAAACCTGTTGATACACATAGGAGATGTCGTACATGCGACCCCATGACAATCACCACTGTTAAGGGATGACCAATGTCCAATGATTCAGGACTCATCAAAACAAGTAATCCCAGTTTCAGCAGGGACAATGTCCTTAATGAAGTAAATTCAAGAGATTAGAGATCTTCCAGTTTAAAGATAAGTAAAGACTTCAGACAGTCAGGAAGTGAATCATAGACAGCAGGCCTCTGCCCAGCCAATGACCAGTCTTCAAACTTCGAAGAAAACACATTCCAGTGGAATAGTAAAAACCTCAGATCGTTGTAATTTATATAGTAAGAAGCTTGGGGGAGATGGGTGGCAATGAATGTATTTACAATACACATGTGTAAATTAATCATGACGAATAAAGTTTGAGGTCGGGTGTAGGTGACAATGTTGAACATGGGTATGAAATAATTAATATAGTGCCATACGCACCACCCACGATAATGGGGACATGTGGGCAGAAGAGCTTAGGATCTCAAAAGGAGTGACTTCTAATATCTGGCCCTCTACAAAGTCTCTGTAACAGTGTCTGTTATATGAATGGTTGGAATCAGATCAAGATCTCAGCGATATGGTGCATAGCAAAATGAATGTCAGAATCAGACAAGATGTTCAGTGAGGCCTATCTTCAAGATCATCATGTTACATCTTCCGCCCTTTTCCC